AAAAAAAAAAAAAAAAAGGCCCTGTGCTGTGCAGCGGGGTAGCTCACTCCTGCTGCGTCCGCCAAGGGTTGCGCCTTAAGGAATCTCAACTCTATGGACATGTGTGTGTCTCCATGCTTTTGCATTTTTGGGGAGAGAATTGGGAGAAGGTTCTTTATGTTCTTGCTTTTTAAACATTCCTATCTTTTTGCAGGTTGGATGAAGAGGAGAAGGATTTGATCAGTGATCAGGCTTAGTGCCACTGGCAGCCTTTCTGGCTGAAGCCAACAGGTGTGAAACGGGTGGGAGATTTAGGTACAGCTCTGGCTGCCTCTGTTAAGTTAGAGGTAAGACTACAGATTTTTACAGTAACTGACCCTAATGTTTAACAACTTTCACTTCCTTTCATCTAATCTAGATCCTCTCCCTAGACTCTGCACTGTTTTGCTGCACAGATCCTATCATTCAGTAGGGGACCAGTTCATGTTTACCACAGATTCTCAGGCCTCGCAGAGAGCCAGGCATGTCACAGGGCCTTAATAAAAAATACTTAGTTGAAACTGAAGTGAATAACTACTTTCTTAATCAGATTAGAATATTCAGTTCTTTTGACTCTTGTTTCTTTTCCTTCTGCCTTGCTTGAGAAACAAAGTGAAGTATTTAAACTGTATGTAGTATTCATTCTGAAAAGTCACAGAATTACAGTCCTACACCCTCTACAATGTAGGCACGAAGTCTTGCAAATTTTTAATAAATACAGGAAAGCAAAATAAAAACAGGAGAACAGTATACAGTATAATTTAAATTAGCAGCATTGTTATCTTTAGGAATCTCTAAGTGAAATAACAATGAAAGATAGTAGCAGTATATGACTCTTTTTTAATCATGCTTTATTGCCATATTATACTCACCTTCTGTAGCAAACTGTTCTAAATGTTTTAGTGTAATTTCTTTGTATTTTGAAGTCTCTGCCAGTCGATCATAAATTACAGTGTCCTGGAAAACAAACAGAAGATATTATTTTAAGCACTCTGAGTTTAATAAAGTTGATATTGGCAATATTACTAGCAGCAAATCAGTATAAAAACAATCACTTTTAGCCTAAGTTTAAAGCACAAAATATCTTCCCCTAATAATACGATTTTCCTTTTAACACTGAGAAATAAGGTTCTAGACCTGTATTTTTATCTTTCTCCTTTCTGAATAAATCCATAGTTACTCCAACGTCCAAAATCTCATATTCTGTCAATATTCCACTTACCTCCCAGGTGTGGCAAGATCTCTCCCTACCCCTGCAGGTTTTGCAGAACACTGCAGTGTTCACAGATGCCACAGGAAGCAGGGTGCAGCCCTCAAGGGGGTTGGGAAATGCTGGACTGGAAAGAGCTGAAGAGCTTTCCCTGCTACAATACTTCTTAGAGCCTTTAAGATGCTAATGAGCACAGCGCATCTCCAAGGGGGTGACATGGGATGTGTCCCCAGTTCAGTCACTACTGAACCTGCCAGGGGCTAGGGCATCTTTATGTGACCGGTGTGCATGAAAGAGCCAACTTTGAGAAACACAGATCTAAATCACTGTGTGGGCTGGTGGGTAGAATATGGAGAATCTTGGAGAAACCCAGTATTGCCTTATAGCTGAATACTTCTGACTGTGTTACTTTAGCTTTAAGATGGAATTGACTTAGTCTGTAATATTCAATTAGTGGATTATCATTAAAGTCTCCTTCAGATTTAACTTTATGCACCACTGTGTTTCTTTTCTTTCCCCCCTTTATAAATTGCCTATTGCTCTTTTATTCTTCAGCTTGAGTTTAATGTTTAAAAAGTTTAGTATTTGGCCTTCATGGTTTTATTAGACCAGGAAAAAATAAATCATTTACCTGCAATTACTTTCTCAGTGGTATTACCCATTTTGAGATCTCCAGTCTCAGGGTTGAGATTTCGAAGTAGACTAATGGAGTATGATTTAGAACCCTTGAGAGAAACAGAACTTAGTGACCTCAGAACAGATGGAATATTCCAGTCCCCAATTATGAATTTCTTTTCATTTTTCAGTGGCGGAATGGGAAGGGGGGCAAAGCAAAAGGAAATGATAATTTCCCCTCATGGCTACTTTCTGAGAATGAAAGGTATAACTTATGAACTCTATATTTTTCAAAGGCTAATGAAATCTTCAATGAAATTAAAATAGGCCAACTAAGAAAACCTTTTAAAATATTAAAATCATGAAAACAAAAGTGGTAAGTAATAAGGCTAGTCAGATTAAATTCTGTAATGTAACCAAGCATTCTGGTGGAAGAAACTGATGCTCAGAATAGAAATTTTTTTTACTTTCTTTATAGTATCAAGGAAAGCAGAGGATAGAATGTGGTGCTCTGTATGAACTGAATAGTATGTCACCACTGGCCATGCTTACATGTGAATAATAAAGACATAACCCTTTCACCCAAAGTAATACTCATTTATTCAGAGGGCTATATCAAATATTTGGTCCACTGTTAGGAACAACAACAAAAAAGGTTTCATAAGAGGAATGAAAGCCTGTGTACCCCCTAGGGTCAGGCTTAGAGCCTGATGAGTTCCACATTTACAGAAAATCCTAACTTATCTGGTGTCCTGGTACTTAGCAAGGTAAGAGTGGGAAAATCATGCGGAGGAGAGGCTGCTGAGGTCACTCATGTAAAGAAACTGCAGCTTCATGTTAAGTAATTCATTTTAGGTGAATTTTCAGTAAAAAAGTTGTTTCCCTGTTACCAAATTGGACAACCTCAAAGAAATGGATAAATTCCTAAAAATACACAATTTTCCAAGACTAAACCAGAAAGAAATAGAAAATCTGAACAGACTGATTACCTGCAATCAAAAAACTCCCAAAAACAATGAGGACCAGATGGCTTCACAGGAGAATTCTATCAAATATTTAAAGAAGAGTTAATACCTATCCTCAAATTATTCCAAAAAAAAGAAGATGAAGGAATGCTTCTAAATTTATTCTATGAAGCCAGCATTACTCTGATACCAAAATCAGAAAAAGACTCTACAAAAAATGAAAACTACAGACTAACATCCCTAATTAACATAGATGTAAAAATCTTTGGCAAAATATTAGTAAACACAATTAAAATATATTAAAAGGATTATTCCCTATGATCAAGTAGGATTTAATCCAGGGATGCAAGGATGGCTCAATATCTGCAACTCAATCTGAACTCTGCAATGCACCATTTGCACATATACGATACTATATATAGAAAAGCCTAAAGATTCCACCAAAAACTACTGGACCTAATAAATGAATTCAGCAAAGCTACAGGATGCAAAATCAATATACAGAAATCTGTTGCATGTCTATATACTAATAATGAACTAGTAAAAAGAGAAATTAAGAAAACAATCCCATTTACAACTGCATCAAAAAGAATAAAACACCTAGGAATAAATTTAACTAAGGAGATAAAAGAGCTGTAGTCTGAAAATTGTAAGACATTGATTACAAAAGCTGAAGATGACACAAATAAATAGAAAGATATACAGTGCTCATGGATTGGAAGAATATTGTTAAAATATCCATACTGCCCATATAGCATGAAGAAGAGAAGTAATGACTCTATAGCATCTTACTACACTGATGGACAGTGATTGCAATGGGGTTGGAGGGGACTTGATAATATGGGTGAATGTGGAAACCACAATATTCCTCATGTGAAACCTTCATAAGATTGTTATCAATGATACCTTACTTAAAAAAAAAATCCATACTGCCCAAAGCAATCTACATAGTCAAGAAATCACTATTAAAATACCAATGGTATTTTTCATAGAATTAGAATAAATAATCCTAAAATTTATATGGAAGAATAAAAGACCCTGAATAGCCAAAGCAATCTTGAGGATGATGAACAAAGCTGGAGATATCAAGCTCCCTGCTTTCAAACTATACTACAAAGCTATAGTAACCAGAACAGTATGAAACTGGCACAAAAATAGATACATCAATGGAACAGAGTAAAGAGCCGAGAAAAAACCCCACACTTACATTGTCAATTAATCTGTAACAAAGAAGGCAAGAATATACAATGGGAAAAAGACAGTCTCTTCAATAAATGGTACTGGGAAAACTTGATAGCTACATGCAAAAGAATAAAACTGGACCACTTTCTTACACAGTACACAAAAATAAACTGAAAATGGATTAAAGACCTAAATGAAGGCTTAAAAACTCCTAAACTAAAAAGTAGGCAGTAAACTCTTGGACACAGTCTTAGCAATATTTTTTTGAATATGTCTTTCTAGACAAGGTGAACAAAAACAAAAATAAACAAGTGGGACTACATAAAACTAAAAACTTTCTGCATATGAGGGAAATCATGAAGACAAAAAGGCAACCTACTGGATGGGAGACAATATTTACAAATGAAATATCCAATAAGGCATTAATATCTAAAAAATGTAAGTAACTCATTCAACTCACCACCACACACACAAAAAATCTAGTTAAAAAATGGGCAGAGGACCAGAATAGACATTTTTCTGAAGAAGTCATAGAGATGGCCAACAGACACATGAAAAGATGCTCAACATCATGCTTATTCATCTTTTAAACTGAAGTTCCAATACTGCTCTTTCCTGACCTATGGTGTCTTGCACATGGCAGGTGTTCAAAAAATACGTGTTATGTAAGTAAAACACTTGCTGTAATTCTCAATCATTCTGAAATTTCTCTTGTATGAAATACCACCTTATATAACATTGCCAAATACAAAGAAATACTAGAGTCAACAAAAAGTCATCAAGCAGAAAACAAATTACTTATTTAACAATTACTTATTTAAGCAATGCAAGTTACAGGAAAGTTATCTACATAATCTTGCTATAAATAGCCAATTACCATCAAGGAATCGGATTCTGTTGTCAGGTTAAACAACACGGTGAGACAGACCTGCTGCATGAAGCTCAGACCTCTTTGAACAGGAGTGTTTGCTAAAGACATTAGACACATTTATGTGTAAATACAGACAACCATTTTCTGTGATGATGTGTGCTATTCAGAATTTTCTGTACTTTGCCTTTGATGTGGTGGTGAACCACTAAAAAAAATTAATTTCAGATGTAGTCTTATTTTGCATATGGCACAGGATTTTATTTAGGGGGCACTTACTTCGAAACTTTCAATCACTCCAAGGTCCTCAAAGCATTAAGTATATTTGTCAAGTTTCTAATTTCTCTTCTGGCATGTAAGTGTTGGAATAAGATTTTTTATTTTATTGAATAAATACATTTTTATTTGCATAAATCTAACTTTTCCTAAATGGTACTGTTGCAGACATAAATTGTGCATTGTGTACTTTTCCATTTTTTTAAATTTAAAAATGAACAAAGTAAGGCAACCTCATTGCAGAAAATCTGGAAAGAAGCAAGAAAAACAAGTCATCCATAAACATACACACCCACAACCCACCATCTCTTTATGCTATAGTTTAGATTAACTTCAGTACTATTGTCCATTCATTAACTCTATCCCCTACTCCTTTGAGTCTGTCTAATCTGGGGTTTATTTCATCTCTTGATATTTTTTCTTAAATTTATTAATGATTTATAATTTATCTTACATGGATTTCTGCTCCCCTTCCCAATTTCTTTTTGATTAAAAATAACTGTAATTTTTATCATGTTGAACCTCAATCATCCTTTGTTAGAAGGTCTACACAAATGATTTCATCTGGAGTGAATTCATGCTCCAGTTACTTATGTGCTTATTTTCTCTTTGGCATGAGATTTCCTCATGTGTCTCTAAGTTTTGCTCTTGCTCTCTTTCCTCTTTGCAAGCATCCCAGTCTAGTGGTTTTATACACCCTCCAGCAGAGGTTGGCATGAGCGCCCCTCAATCTCTTCTCATGATTAGGGAGCTCACCACTATCTCAGGCTTTAAAGAGGGGAGGCTGGTTCCCATCTGCATTTTACATTAAGTATTATTTGCCCCCTTCGCCCCACAGAAAACCAAATTCCAGCCTCTGCTCCCAGTGCCTGCAATTTGTATCCTACTCAGCTCAAGACTTTAGTTCAATGTACAACTTTGGTTTTCTATGCCCATTTTGGTCTACAAAGATGTTTACCTTGTTTTTGAGCCTGGTTTTATCTTTCTGCTTTCCCTTTATACTATATCCATCGCTGCCATGATTTTGGAATAGAAGAGATACATCAAAGGATAAACAGACTATGTTACCTCAGCTGGAACATACTGATGACTTCTTAATAGACTTTTATTACTAAAATCTTCTGTTGCACTTATCACTATTGATTATTAACTCTACCAAGGAATCAACAGATTCCTCAGTCTCTCCTCCAAATTTCCATCTCCTTTTTTAGATCTTCTACTTTTCACCTTTAGTCCTCCTCTCTTTTCATGTAATATTTTTTTCATATGAGATCTCATCATTCCCCTTCTCTCAGTCTCCAACTATACTTGTTAACTCCTAAATTTATATTGGCACCCCAGATTTTTTTCCACTGTGAAATTCAGATATGTCTGCCTTATGGTCCAGATGTAGTTCCCAGCCCTCTATCTTGGTAAGCAGTACCACTTCATGTACACAGGTCCCTGACAGTAGTCCTAGGTCACTGAAACCCTGGGGGTGGGGAGGCGGGGGCGTGTATTCCCAGCCTGGGGCAAAATAAACCTGTGAAGCCACAATCAGTCCTGGGGAAAAAATAAAGTGGGGGAAACCCGTTTATTGCTTACAAGGAGCCTGACTCCATTCGCTCTCTGGCCGTCACTCTCACTCACCCGTTTCTCTCCCATTTTCCACTGGGGAGGCCCAAAAACCTCTCCTGTCCCACTCACACTGGCTTGTCCATCCCCCGTATAATCACCTACTGATGTGGAGATGGACTACTTCTCTCCATCCCTTGGAAACACATATTGATATGGAGATGCACTAAGGCCAGGAGAGAGATTCTGGAAATATTGCAATTTTACCCACAGTCATATTTTTCCTCATCACCCAAATGCAATCAATTACTAAATCCTAAATCTCTGTCTTCTTAATCTTCCCTACAATGTTCTTGGCTCAGATCCTTAGCAATTCTTGCCTGGATTATAGTCAATAACCTTAAGTGGTAACTCTGTATGCATATCTTTTCTGCTTTAAATAATCTTCCTAAATGGCATCAGAATGATCCAGAAAAACAGTACAAGTTCTTGAGCATGTAAAAACCATGACCTAACTAATGCTTACCTTTTCACCTAACAGTCTGCTATTCCATGTCATATTCCATGTAGTTCTCAAATGTACATTGCTGTTTTACATGTTTATGCATTTTTAGTATTTAACCGCAATTCACAGCCAATTTGGGAATGGGGGAAACAATGCAATAAGCAAGCTAAATATGAAAATTACCAAAAGGGAAGTCTAGTGTTATTATTTTTTTATTCAATGCTTTAACTCCCCATAGTGTCTGGATAGAAGAGTACTCAAAACTAAGAAAGAGTGTGAGTTTGATTTAGTAAACCGGACACATATTGGCCATTTAAAGTGAGAGGTCTTAAAGGCTTTCTTTATTCCCTTATCACTGAAGTTACCATTCAGATGTGGAAGATTTTAACAATATATATCAATATTGTATCCAAATATTTTCTTTATATATATATATATATTTCCTTGACTAGTCTTAAGCTTCTAACAAGTCTTGGATCTTATCTTCCTATCCCCAAAATGCAGTTCAAAGTCTGGTAGATAAAATGCACACAATGAATAAATGTTAGACGTTTGAATCAATAACCAAAGGAATTTAAAAATGAAATTAATGGGACATCATAAAATAATTCTGCCAAAATGCTTTAAAACTAAGGCATTCAAAAATTGCACTTCAAGCTTTATAAACAAGGCATTGCAAAACATTCTCAACAGAAATTTAAATAATAAGGTTGGACTTCTTACTAAGTTAAGTTTCCAAGTTCCATGTGCTAAAGCAATATAGTTGATTATATTTAAAATTGGGAAGTTCCAACTTGGTAAGTTACCCGACTAGTCCAAATGGACTAGGCACCTGGAAAGGATAATTCAGAAGGAAAATACTGACTAATTTTAAGAACCAGAGAAGGCCCCGGTCAGTAGATTTTTTGTTTTTCCATGAGCATAAACATATTTTAACCAGGGAAATTCAGCTAGAATGACATACCACAATTTCTGTCAATGTAACTTGCCAATGTACCAAAGCCAATCAATAGTGAGAAATACAGTTATAATTAAAACAATGCAAGACAAATGGTAATTACCACATGAAGAAATTATAGCAGTAATTGTGAAAAATTGTTAAATTTTTTCACCCATTTCTATGGTCTTTGAATAATTAGATTCAAACTGCTGTGAATCACTACATTTCTAACACAATTTAAAAAGATTTTTGTATGTAATTGTCTTCCAACATATTTATATACTATAAATGTCAAATATTATGTATCAAAAATTGAATTATATAAATAACCTAGGCCAAACTTTTTCAAAGCACCAAATTTACCCAGAAGGAATTTCACATTTCACCAGAAGAGGCTGAATACTATTACTATAAAACACCAACAAAAGTGGATGTCAGCAACTTCATGCTAAACATCTGTGTTACATTTCCATAGCAGAATGCTTAACATACACATTATGAACCATCATAAATCAAAACTGTAAAAGGCAAAAATAAAAACTTACAGCTCCTTTGCAGTAAAGTCGTAATTTCCCGGATGGAGTGCGAACAATCACCGACATTCTTTTTCTAGCGCTGAAAGAAAGAGGTTTACCATAATGTGTCTTCATACTGAGAATATGCATATATATGTGTGTGTCATGCCTCACATATTTTAAGACTCACAGTGAAAAAAATAAATTTGACCAAAACATGAGCCCTGTCCTTCCACACATACAAACCATCCCCTGGGTGTACGTACAGTTGGGTACCTTTGAAAGCTACATTATGTTCCTTAAGGCACCAGGGTACCATCTGCTGCCATAGAGCACTAATTTACAAAAGGCTCCCTAGAATCCTGGAGGAGTTAGGACCCATCGGAGGAGAGGGGAGCTCTGTTTCAGTGTTTCAGATTTAAAAAATATTTAAGGCAGTATCTTGTAAGATGAATTTTCACTACAGCTTTTATTAAAAATAGAAATGATACTTGATTTTAAGTACATACCCAGTCACACATAAAGGCAAACACCAGCACTTTCAAACTGACTTTAGTATTCACAACTATTGTTTTTCAATGATTACAAGCAAACCATGGACATCATGTAAAAAACTGAGCTTATATTACAATGCTAACTAAGCTAATGAGCAAAAACATTTTAAGTTTAATTGTGTTGGTTACATAAAGATTAATAAAAAGTGTTCGACTAATACACAACATATTTCAATGCATTAGCAAAGGGACAGCAAATGTGTGTTTTGAATAGAACAAACTGATACAGCATCACATAGGATAGGCGCCATTTGGTACCAAGCATGTAGAGCAGCCTCTCCAAAAATGAAGGGGAGAAAGCGCTTGCCAAGTGTTTGCATCCATCTGTTTTATCTTATGATGTTCTGCTGCTAACATACTGAGACGAGACCAATATGAAGTAGCAGTTAGATATTACATCATGGTGTGTCATCAGGAGTTTCAGAGTATCTGGAAGTACTTAGTTCTTGTCTCCACTGTAGTAGTGTGTGTGATCTCTATCACCCTTATTTGGGTCCTTTGCAATGATGTCTGGATATTCTATACTCCATCTCAGACGTTCTTAATTTGTGCCTCTTTTAATTTAGCTTCGTGACATGATCTCAAAGTCATCAACTTCCTTGCTCTTAAGTTCTCCTGGCAAAACTCCTGAATCCTGGGTGAATGGGAACTCTTTCTGGGGAACACCAGAGTAAGTGGACATTGCTGAACAAAAGTCACCAGTCACAAAGATTGGTAAACACATGAAACCAATGTCAACTGATCATGGGCTCTGTACTGCCCAGCAACCCATTTGTCTAACTAATAAGCTTGTTCTCTCTACAGGATTATAAACACCTGCTCCATTCTCCCAGTCTCCAATGCACTCTTGTCACTCCAGACTGTGAATTTTTGCAATTCACCTTAACGGATGCCTCAGACAATAAATTCCTCTTCTTTCTGTCATTGAAACCACATACACTCTCTGTGCAGCACCCTCTGGCTCTTTCCTTGATACAATGGAGGAAATTTTTTTCCTAGCAGAGACCTTTTCCTAGATTTTTTCCTAGCGGGGGAACCTTTTCACCTCACTCAGTAACCCCACTCCTAAAGTTACGTTGCTTTCCTCGGAATCTGCATCTTTTCCTTCTAGAATGGGTCCTTCTCATCAGTATTTAAACATATTCTAGTCTGTCTGCTCCAAAACTAACCCCTGACAACCCTCGGCCACAAGGGGCATGCCCTTTCAGCCCGCTCTCCTCCCCTCCCATCCCTTTCACAGCTCACGTCTCAGAACAGCTCCTCTACATGCTGTCTCCACGAACTGCTCCCCTCCCCAGTCATTCCCACTGCACGTCTCCCCTCACCACTCCCCTGAATGGTTACATCCAATGCACACTTCCAATCTCTGTCTCACCCACCTTTACAGCAGCCGGGCACAGATGGCTATTCTCTCCTCAGTCATCCTTTTCTCTTGGCTTTGTGCTGTTATCCTCTTTATCCTTTATTTCCCTAAGCACAAAGCAGTCTCTTTTGCTGATTCCTCTTTTTCAAATCAAGCCTTAAAAGTTGGAGTTATTCATAGCTCAGTACCCTCAGCCTTTCTTGTTTCCCTCACTCGATATTTTATATCCAGCAGATCCAACTCATTTTCATGGCTTTAAATACCACGTACAGGCCAATGACTATCGAATTTACATTTCAGCTACAGGCTTCTCTTTGATGTTCCAGGACCTCATATCCAACAGCCTACCTCTGACACCTCAGTTTGTGTATCTCATGGGCTTCTAAAACTTAATGATTCAAACATCTCACCCTCCACATCTATTCCTATTCTTGCACCTGCTATCTATGTAATCTGGTCCTACATCCACCCAGCTGTTCACGCCAGAGACTCTAACTACGCCTTCTTTTCTCCTTCCACATCCCAAGCCATTCTCAAGTCCCCAACGTTGCTCCAAAAGGAATCTACCACCTTCATTTTATTTTCACGGTCAGAGTCCTAGGCCAAACCACTAATGTTTTTCACAGAGACTACTTTAATACCATCACGTTCAGTTTTCTCACTTTCATCCTTAAGCCTACCCCCATCCCAGCATCCTGAAGGAGCTTAAATTCCTCCCCTTGCTCTATTTTTCTTCAGAGTACTTCCTACTTTTAGTACAGTGCTTCTAAGTGTGTGTTAATAAACAAACATATTGACATATTTATTCTATTACAGATATAATAAAAGCAGGCTTGGGAAAAATAGTCACTTGGACATGGAGAAAAAGAGAGATGGGGGAATTACTTTGGGAATACTCTACTACAGTTAACTACCCAACATCTTATGCATTTTACCTTCAGTATTTCAGTGCATACAAGAAAACAATGTTTAATAAATTGGACCCTATTATTTTGATATTAAACTCTTTCATGTGGTCATCCCCAACTAAGAAGGAAATTGAAGTTGGCACTGAAAAGAAAATGCCGTTTTTAAGAAAGTTAGCATGGGAATTTGCCTTATACAGGAGATCACTAGCTGTCAGACTCCTGGTTTTATATCTCACACTCACAGCTGTGATATACACAGTCATGTTAAAAAATATTTGTATATTGCCTTTAGGAGTCATGCCTTACAACACTCTGAAGAAAGCTGTTTGTGATTTATCTACACTTTTGACTGTTAAAAACTATACTTAAGGTTTTCATATTTTGTCTAAATAAATTCAAATAAAAATAAAGCATACTTTCTAGTTATTTAAAAGGAAAAAAGTAAAAATGGATAGAAATTCATCTCATAGATACAAATCACAGAGTAGATGTTTTACCTGGTGAATTCCAGGACATTGAGCAATTCATATCTTTCTTCTTGTCCCAGCTATGAAGAAAAAGAGTAAGTGATTTTATATATATATAGTCACTTGAACATGAAAAAAGAAAAAAGAGATGGGGGAATTACTTTGAGAATACTCTACTAGTTTACCATCAAATTTCTTATGCATTTTCCCTTGAGCCTTTCAGTGCCTACAAGTAAATAATGTTTAATACATTACACAGACCCCATTATTTTGATATGAACCACAGTCATGCAGTCACTCCCAAGACAGCAATCAAAGTTGGCATTGAAGAGAAAATGCCTTTTCTGTTGAGCTATATATATATATTTATAACTCTATAAAGTTTATATAGTTTTATCTGTAACTATATAAAGCTATTATAACTATATAAAGTTTTAAGTATCTTTGACTTCTTGGAAATAAACCCTAGACATGGAATTTTAATGTAAAAAATATTAACACGAATTGCCACTTCTGAAATACATCATTTTAAATTGAACTTACTAACTTTCAAGTTAAGATATAAGAGTTAGCATATACATTTAATTTCTGTCCTTTCCAAAGCGTCACTGAAACTAAAGCCACACTGAAAAAGAAAGGAGAAACTCGCAGTGGCAGGAAGATGAGAAAGGAGAAATAGCAACAAAAATTTGGAGGCAAGAAAATCGATCAGTGAGCTGTATTCTACTGTATAGATCCGAGGTCAGACCCTATAGTAGCCAGAGGAAAAGCTGAGAAAAAACCTAATTTGTACCACATAACCCTTAAAAGGCTTAAGAAGTGAAATTTCAGATAGTTCTAGATCTGTGAGGTAAAGGAGGGGCCTAAAATGGGGAGGACTGGGAAAGAGCTACTGGAAAGGCAGCTCCCGGCACCTCCCCTTCCTGCACACTGGCAGAAGACCAGAGGCTTTGCTCTATAAAGGGTAAAACAGAGGCTCTTTTGTCCAGAAGTTGGCACAGTTGAAGACATGGCATTCTTATCATATTCATACTAAATGCTGGGCACTGATACCCCAACCCATTGAGTTCCCCACATTCTAGCAGCTTGACTTTTGCAGAAAGAAATTTATTTTCTGGGGAATCCAACAAACTCAAGAGAAGCCCTAAACATAGAGACACCACAACTTCCCAAATTAAGCCCACCAGACCACCCTACACTGAAGCTCAACACTGACAAGTGCCCTCTTATGCTCAGAACTCCCACATTAGCTTTTAAGTTCCTCACTCTTAACCATGAGACTATTAAAGAGGAACAGACATCTAAGTATAGCCACCGACACGGAACACAGATACCCAAAACCAACAGAAACAAGCAATTTGGAGGCAAGAGAATTTAAAAACACAACTTCATGTCGGTCACTGGAGTTTCAGGTTCTGGGTTTGCTGATGGGCATGAGGGCCCAGTGAGTGTGTCCTGGATGCCTCTTCACTTGTTTCAGCACCAGACTGAAGTGGTTTGGCATTTGCTTCATATGTGGCATAAAACTTTTTGCAGTGTTTTATACTCTTGAAAATGGGATTTAGAAAATAAAAGATGTAACACAGAATAGAAGTAAAGAAAGTTCCCAGGAAGACAGTAAACCAATTCCAGGATGACAACTGTCAAGGAGACTGAGAACCGCCCCCGAGTGCGTCTCAGAGCCCTGAGAGTCTGAAGTTTATCGAGGGCTTTCACTACTGTGTCCTCTGTTTCTGTAGCAACTTTTTCACCTGGTGAAACTGACAGCAAATGCGTCCCATCAGAACAAAGGAGTTCACTAAGAAGGAAAATTTGAGATACAAGAAACAGTTCCAAACAGGAGAAAATCAGAAGGAAGTGACATAGAAGCTGGTCTTTGAACAAAGCTGCCCTGGGGAATGCAGGACTGTAAGAGGGGTGTCTCCAGCAGAGAACTGCCGACTGACAGATTATTTGGTGTGACAGCACTGATCAAAGGTCCTATGAAGGTAGGGAACAATTAGCAATAGGTACAGAGAAAATTAAGCAATTAAAAAAAGACAAAGGACTTATCTTTAGGAAATAAAGGCAAAAACTATTTTCAGGAAATAATTCTGTGCCGGGAAATGTAATGTTAAAAAAGAAAGCAATTACTGAATACAACAACATCAGCTCTGAACACTGGTACAGGTCTAATAATATAAACATGAAATAATGATTTTTTGATTGAGATACAATTTATATACAATAAAGTACACAGACCTTAAATGTACTGTACAGTTTGACAAAGGTACACTTGGTGTAACCCCACCCCCAACTGAGAGACAGAACACGCTCAATGGCTCATAAATTTTTTGTGCTTCCAATCAGTCTCCTCCCAGACCCTGAGGCAAACACTGTTCTGTTCTAACTTTTGTCTAATCTCAGGCTGCATAGAAATGGAATTAAAAAGGCTGTGCTCATTTGTGTCTGGCTTTTTTGTTCAACATGTTTTCGAGATTTATCCATGCTGTTGATGAATCAATAATCCCTCCCTTTTTATTGTTTAGATGTTCCACTGCATAAGTATGTCACAATATGTTTATGGTTTAGCTCCAGTTTTTGGCTACTATGAATAAAGCTGCTATGAACATTCCATTAGACATCTTTTTGTGCACCTAAGTTTTAATTGCTCCTGAGTAGCTACAAGTACAATTGCTGGGTGAAGTGTATGTTTACCTGTATTAAAAAATTCTAAAAGGTTTTCTGAAGGGCTCATATCCTTTCACACATATCTGCTAGCAACAATTGGGTGCCCCACTTGCTCTACATTCTCACTAACATTTAATGCTGCCAATGTTTTCACTTTTAGCCTTTTTTGTGGATATGTAGCATGTCATTGTGATTTTAATCTGCATCTCCCTGATGACTAATGATGTTTCTTCACATGCTCACTGGCCATTCATGGACCTTCTTTTGCGGAATGTTTGTTCAAGTCTTTTGCCCACTTAAAAAATTGGGTGTGAATATTTGTTTAACCAAAGACTGTGACATAATTCTAATAGCATTGGAAAGGGATGGTGACTCAAGAGAAATTCTCATTTAACACAATAGAATAGAAAGTCTGTAGATATGTCTAAAATTGAAGAATCAGATGTGTACCATTAATAACATTATTTGAAAATATGAGATGCATAAATATCTGAAGAGATAGAAGAATAGAAAGTAGTTGCTTCTGGAGAGGGGAACTGGCAAAGGAACCCCTATTTTATTATGAGCCTTTTTTGGTTTTATCTTATCTTTGGAGCTATGAACATATATTGCTTTGATGAAAAAGACTTGAAAATAAAGAACTTACTGAATCTATAATCACCGAGTCAGGTGTTCTTCCAGTGAAAACAAAATTCAGTTGCTTGGCTGCTCTGACCAATGCTCCCTCATCTGTTTTAGGAAAATGGATGAAAGCAAATACATGGTGAAAAAAAAAGTATCCCCAAAACAAGAGAAATATGTTATTGTGATATAATTTTCTGTTTAACTTTAAAAGAAGTAAAATTCTTTGTATGCTGGCCCCTGCTATTAAAATCCATTTCTTTTTTTACTGAATATGACAATGCCAAGGGAATGAGTAGAATAACCTTCACGGTCTGAGATGTGCATAGATCCCAGATTCATGTCTCTGAAAATTAACTCTCACTGTTGGTCATACACATCTAAGCAGGAAATTTAAATGTACCCCTTCATCTAGCATATTCTCTAGAAAATCTTTCTCAAATGAATGGCACAAAAGTAACCTCTTATGAGTTATGCTTTTTCTCCTAAAACATGGAATGTAGAAAAATAAATTTTATTCCCCGAGGATAAAATACAAATGGCTGTAAATGAACTGACGTTTTATCACATATTGTTTAGTTTCATCACCAATGTACATCAAACCTTATTGGGGAAGGTAGGGTTTGGGATAAGAGAACATTCACATAGCTTGTATCTTAACAATATGAGATGTAACATTCCTTACACTTTTTAGGAATTTGGTTATTGTACAAGATCACAGGTGCTGGTTTAGAATACAGTTTAAAACACTTAGGACAAAGTTCTCCAAAGTGTGTTCTGTTTTTACTAAAATCTTACATTCACCAAATTAACTATTTACCCAACTTTACATTGACAGTAGGTCTAAAATCAAGCCTAAGTATTAAATATTGATAACTGTGCTAGTATGTATTTTATGGAACCCCTTCAAATGTGTAAACTTTCCTTATTCAAATAAATATAACAAGTTCCATGATTACCATTCATGGAGGAAAGAGGAAAGCAAAATGTGTTCCTAAATACACACTAATATTAGGCAAACAGATCTTCCTTTTCCTGTCTATGTGCAGAAAACAGTTTTTGACTAAGAGTTTATTCTTAGTTATTTATAAAGAAGTGAGAACTTACTATGTGCATATAAAAAAGTACTTGTGTGAATTTTGTTATTAAAAATTTTCATGCAATTTATTTATGTCATATACCAAAAGTTAGATATACAAAGTCATATATTTTAACATACATATATTTAATTCTGAAAGCCAAGGTTTTTCTAATCAGTATAAATAAAATTTTCTAAAAAAACAACAACTTGGTTACTTCACTTTTTCAAATTAAACTGATTTTTTTTCTAGACAATCTCAAATTTCAGAACAATTTTCCATTTAAAAAATATATCACAATTGCTTTGTTTGTACCTGGAGATGCTGCTTGATAAATAATCTTATCGCCTTCTCGCTCTGGCACTGCTGTGTGACACACTGCCATCATTGTAAGAAATTCACATATTACAGGCGCAGTTGGCTGTAAGAAATAGACACATAACTGAGGCCTTTTCATTTAGACATTTCAACACTAATGGCAGCAATGTTATTTCACATCTTTCTACCAGAGTGTAGCTGTTAAACATTGAGGGCATGAGGTTATGGCCAACTAAGAAGCCAGCAAACGAAGAAAATATATTTTTATTTAAGCTCATTCATTCTTGTACCCTCTCATTCATGTTCTAAACACCTATATAAGATAACTTGCGCTGTCAAGTAGAAATGGCACAGTGAAAAAGGTAGATATGGTCGAAGCCTATTCTCAGAAGACATAAAATTCTAAAATGTTCAGCGGCTTCTAATTCCTGATCAGATTTACATGTTAGGCATCTGATCCTACTGAGGGGTTCCACTACTTTGTGTTGGGATGATGATGGCCAGAGATTCTTCTGTAATGCTTTGTTCTCCCACTCTCCAAAAATGGCAACCTTAACCTGATACATGTTTTACTAAATAAAAAAGAATTGACTGAAGAATTCCTATGAACAATGGAGTTTTACTGAGGAAAAGTGAATCCTTTCTACAAGATTAGCGTTTATAAGAGAAAATAAGCCAGATCATTAAATTAAACATCTTCCTGTCTGGCTCCTGATGAAGAGAAATGTCATTCAAACTAATAAAGGAGAAATATTCCTCTATGTTCTTAGACTTTAAAAAAAAGTGAAGTTATTGGAAAGGTAAATCAGAACATTGTTTGAAAACTCTGTGTTCAGGTTAGAAGAGTAGACAAAACAGACACGGTCCCTGCTATGTGAAGCTTAGACTTCTTGGGGGGAAACAGAACACAAATAAATACTCAAATATTTATAGTGTATAAAGGGCTATAAAGGAAAGAATGCATAAATATCATGTAGTGTGATTTGGGCCAGGCTGGGGTTGTTCTCAAGATAATGTGGCATTTAAGCTGATGATTTTTCAGCCTCATTAAGAACTAAGTAAAGAGTTTTCCATCAGGCAGGAATCAGACGTGACTGAAAAGATCCTAAAGAAGAAAAGAATGAAGTATGCTTGAGAAAATAAGAGACAGCGCGACTGGAGGAGAAAGGGAGAGTGGCTCCAAGTGAGGCTGGTGACCTAGGCAGGACTGTAAGTTAAGAGAGAAACTGCAGGACAGTTTAGCCCAGGGCAGTGTGGGATCTGATCTCCACGGCATCACTCCCATAGCCATGTGCACCAAGAACTGGAGGGAGTGACAATGGAAACAAGCAGACTGGCTGGGGGATGCTGGCGGTCTAGACTGGGCAGTCAAAATGAGAATGAAGTGAAGCCTTTTGGCATATATTCTAGTAGTTAGTATTGACAAGGGCCTGGGACTCTATAAATCTGGAGATGGAGGAAAAGGAGGTATCAAAAGCAACCTTTAAGTTCCTAGAAAGAGTAACAAGATAGAGATGGTGCAATTTACTGAACCTGTGAACACAAGAGGGAAGAGGTAGTCTAGGTCTAGGATGTGTGGATCCTGAAGCTCTTATTCTGTTGAAGGCTCTCTTAAGAAAAATGGATACATAAAAATGCAGTATGAACACACTGCTAGAGCTCCACCCAGGGGCACAGTGGGTAAGTCCACCTGTGCTAGAGGGAGCACGCTTTGGGGTAATAAGTGTTTAAGTTTTGACATATTGAGCTTGAAGTGATTGTGAGAAGTTCTGGGGTTTAAACACCTGGAAATGGTATCATTTGATCTAATGGGATTTTAATAAGTGCTTGTAACTCCACAAGTGTAATGTTCACAATGGGTGACAGATGTCTGAAGCTCTACTTGTATAGATCGGCATTGGCATATCATTTTGAGCTAATTCATTTCTAAGATATCTTGAAATTATTAATAGTAAGTTTCATACAAATTGAGTTCTACAGTTATTTAATAAAATATTTTGGAAGGTAGAGTATTGATTAATAATAATATTAAAATTAAATTTCTAACTACCACAAATTCATGCTGACCAAGTAAAAAGACTTTGGCAATAATAGATTTAGAAAATTATTAAAAATGATGTATGTATATGAACATATATATAAAATAGAAATATATGTATAAATATGGAAGATAATTCACAGAGATTAAATTAGTTTTCACTCATTAATGAAAAGATAATGGTTTTATATCTCTTACATGATTATTTTGGAGGTTTTCCAGCAATGATGAATCACTAAAAGTTTTTTCATCTCCAAACTGTGAGCTCTGCCTGAAGAGGAGAAAAAAAAAAAAAGGAGGTTAATTTATACAAGCTCACTGATCTATTTGTAACTTACTTTTTAAATAAGTCATTATGCCTATAAGCCCTTAATAGATTAAATACAGTCTGCATTTCTAAATAAGACATTACAGATTTCATGACTGAATCATAAAATATTTTCAAGCATTCTAAAATGTGACAGACTTGCAGTGTAATTAAAAATAGTATTCTATAATTCATTTTCCTGGAGTGAAATTATATTGCAGCCACATGTGTTAAAAAAAAAATCTAATTAAAGTAACAAACTGCTAAAATACATGGAATTGAATTTCTTCTACTTCCTTAACTTTTTCAAGTTTTCAGAATTTTGAGAATAAAGTCATTATGAAATATTAATTCTTTTACTCTAGCCTATGAGAAATTTTTATTTGAAGTTACTAATACTACATGATTATATGAAATACAAAAATTATGAATAAGCTGTTTATATACATTTTTATCAACATCTATCACTAATATCTGATACATTTATGTACAACTCACATGTATTCTGTATATATACATAAGGAGAACAAACCATAAAAGTGTATGGGTATTTTTTGTGTTGGGCTATTTTCAGATCGGCAAACACATCATATACCTCATATGAAACAAACGGGGTCAGAACTGCTCCTTTAATCTAGCCATTATTAACCTCATGGCTGTGCAATTTAAAAACAAGATGTTGAGATTCAAAGGAAGAACAAGGAACATGTAAGCCGGAATGTCAAAAACCCAATGTATATTTTGCAATGTTCAGTGAAAATATATACATCTAAGCTTTTGTGCATGGAAGAAAATTTCAGAATTCACCAGGGAAAAAAAATAAAGTGTCCAATACACTATTTAATAATTTTAATAATTAATAATTAAATAATTTTAATCCAGAAAGCATTATATGAAAATGTTTACAGGTTACAAAGAGTATTATGTCAATGTACCAAAAAGTGAGTTTCCTACTTTAAAGCCATCAGATTGAAAGGAAGGAGAAATCATTGAAGAAAAAAAAAATTCAAAGAAGTGAACACACAAAATATCATCAATGAAATATGCTTTTCCCATAAACCAAAAGAGGAAGTTAGAATGTTTCTAATAAAATATATCTTTATTTACATATAGTAATTTGGCCATTCCCAAAATTATAATGTAAATAACACATTTTTATCAGCATGTAGTAGTTCAGAATTTTCAAAACATCCGTAGGATGTAGAATAAACACATTATTATTGTTACTCTTCCTCCTCCTCTAGTTTTAAAGATGGAAGGAAAAAAATCTAAAAACTTTTAAATGATTTATCAACTGGTAGACAGAAAAAAATTGGCTTACATTTCTCCTCTAAATACTATCATTTTCTTAAAAAGAGTTTATTATTTGGGGCTCCATAAAATGTCCTTTTTATTACAATGCATTCATTAATGGTTCATAGTAAAACTTTCCTACTTATTTGTTACATAAATTGGAATGTCAAATAATATTCATAGTAACATCGTGCATGTGGAGGTCTATTCTCTTTCCAAAGAATTCCAGACTAAAAGCCTTTATAAATCTGAGGATATGTCTTATTAATCTCAGCGATTTTTTCATAAATCACAGTTACCATAATTGATATAACTTTCAAATTTTTATAACAAATAACAATAGATATGCAATTGAAATATTTACATCCCACCCTCCTTTCACCAAGGAAGCTTTCCGCTATGGATAATGCAAAACAAGAACTCTTCTCCCAGAATGTGCTTCCTTTCCAAGAACACAAAACCCATCAACAACTCATCTACTAATCACATAGCCTGGGTTGAACCCAGGCATTGAGCTCTCACCACCCCTCTCTGAAATCTTACAAAATGTTCGCTTTCAGTACAAGTAAACTGATTAAATTAGGAAGTTCATGTTATTTCAAAATAAGATTCAACCAATTAAAAGTGATAGTTTAAACTGTCAGTTGACAAAATGATCTGAATTTGCCAAATTGTTCACAAATAAAAAATGCAAGCCAACATCAATATTTAAAAAAAATTTTCCACAGAAATTTTCAAGTGGTACGTTGCTTACAAGGAGTCAAATTCTGGAGTGTAGCAAGAAGCAGCTTAACACAGGGAGTGTCACATTAAGGTAAAGAGAACAAGGAGCAGGCAACCCTCAAAGCCATATAATTCATGGCTTGCAGGCTGATTTAGAAGCTATGATACACTGTAAATAATAATTTATTGATCATGTTACAATGAAGAATACTCATAGCAGCAAAAATTACTGCAAAATTCAGACTATATATGGCTTAAACAGTATTTTAAAATGAGCTATCTTCATATATAACAGTATGGACTATGAAATTTAAAAAAATTTAAAATCCATGTCAACAAGAGAATTATCAGAAAAAAAGGCAAAAATTGTTGGAACCATACTTTTCACCTTTAACCAAACTCCAGATGAATGAATGATTTAATAAAAGTACTAATAAAAATGTGGAAAAAATTTTAAAATAGTTTAGGAGTGCGTAGGACTTATGTATCACACATCATTCAGAAAACAAAACAAATAGATAAATCTGACTTCATAAAGCTAAAATATTTCCTCACAGCAAAAGCTACTGCAAGAAAGTCAAAAGCCAAACAACTAATTGGGAAAAATAACTGCCAACTCATACGAAGAAGGCTGATTTCCATAAAACACAAAGAACTCATAGAAATCATTAAGAAAAAGATCAACAGTGCAATAGAACAATGGTCAAAGGACATAAACAAACAGATAACAGAAAAGGAAATACAAGTGGCTATTTTTAATATAACTTCATCGCCAAATGAGAGATGAAATTTAAATTTTATCAACTTGGCAGAAATGAAGTTTGACAACTCTGTGATTATGGAAAAAATGAAATCATTTATCATTGTTGAGAATGAAAATGAATACAACTTCTAAAAAGGGCAATTGGGCAATTTCTATCAAAATTTAAAATGCCTGTATCTTCAAAATTTTTAAAAAATTTAAATACACATAACAGAATACTATACTATATAAAAAATGGGGAAGCCCTTCATGGAATAGGGACAAATTTCAAAGTTGCATTGTCAAAAGAAAAGCTGGTACAAAACAGTGTGCACCGTATGCTTCTCTTTCTGTAAAAACAGGAGAGGAACAAACGCATGCATGTGTATGTGTGGAGTCAATGCGGAAGGATACACCTGAAACTGGTAACGCCAGCTGCTCCTGGGAGGGGAAACGGACGGAGCTAAGATGAGGAAGGAAAACCTTCTTTACACTCTTCAAATATGTAACATGTTAATGTATTACAAACTTAAGAAATAAGTCAAATTTAAAGTTAGAAACAAGAATAAAATTCATGTCAGCCACTTGATACACACACCCTACATATAAACTTGATACACCTGCATATAAACTAGACCTAGTCATTAAACACACACACATGCTACACACGTGCACACGCAGGAAGACAAAGGCACTGGGACTGTAAAGTACTGTTTTTTTTGGAATGATCTGTACCTCCTGGTTTTGGATAGTGCTACTGGTTACACAGAAAAATTCCTTAAAGGGAAATCTAACTTTTAGAAATGAATTTGTTACTTAGAGTCAGGTGCAGTCAAGTTCAAGAATACGAACAAGTGATTGAATTGAACAATACTTTTGTTAGACATTGGTTTTAACTAAGGTAATGACACCTGCTTTTCTGGTGTGGCTCAAAGAATTTCTGAAGGCAATTACAAAAGAGTAGCTCCAAAAACATTCTGTGAAATGGCTGCGCCAGTGGAATAAATAAATTACCTGTCAAAGTGACTACTTTTAAGACTAACACTGATTTGGATGTATTAGCTCTCGTTATTATACATCACACCGGGAAGAACGTTTTAGTGAGCCTTAGCTGTTGCAGAAGCATAAATAAATACCACCCATTCCACAGATAATTATAGACCAGAATGAAACAAGAAGATAAATAAGGCCAGAAAATAGTACTATCTAGTGGCATTTTAGTAATACAAAAATGACAGTGAAACGCCTAAGCACAGTGACTGGTGGTTACCATGGGGAAGGGATTAGGGTGGGCAGGTGGGGAGGGTGAAGGGGATAAAGGGATACAAAAATTCTCAATCCTAATACAAGTCGGTCATTGGGAAGGTAGTACACATGGAGAATATAGCCAATAATTCGGTAACATCCTCTTATGTTAACAGAGGGGGTGAGGATTTAAGAGTATGGGTAACTGTTGAACCACTGTGTTGTATATTTAAAACCAATGTAAGATTGTATATTGACTACACTTCAAATAAGAAAAAGTAAATAAGAATACATTGCTTGAGGGTCTGTCATAAATAAAAAAAGATTATTTTAAGGTAATACTTCTGGAGCATCATCTTCACTAGCCATAACTTAAAAGATACTATCAGAAGGAGAATACGGAATTGTATTAAATAGTTAGGAAACATAAACATGTCATCTGGGAATTGCTGCAAAATAATAGTAGAAGAAAAGTATAGATGAAATGAAATTAGTCTTGAGTATATATTATCAAAGTAGATAGATGGGTAGGTACATCTGTCTACTTTTATTTAAGCTTAAAAATTTCCACAATAAATGTTAGAAAAACAAAAAATGGTTATGGAAATTTGGAAAATAACTATATGTTAGGGCTATATGGATGGTAAGAATAAGCACATTTTTTTCCTCCAATGGTAGATTTTTGATAGGAAATAATTAATTTGTAAGGTTATATGTTGGCATATGACTCTTGGCAATAACAGGAAAACCATACCAATTTTAGAATAAGTGGCTGCTAGTTGGAAAATGATTTTATCTCTGTAAATTATTTATATTAATATTTTTAAGCAAGTAAGGCAAGAACCATCATCCAATTATCTTTAATGTCAAGAGAGCATGTTTGAAAGGGTTACTATATTAAAAGTTTGCCTTCAAATTCAATTCAATGTAAAATAAGCTATATACATTTAAGTGTTAAATATTATGTTTTTTTAACTTAACATTTTTGTGGTGAATTCGGTTCAAGTAGGGCAGTAAAATATATACAGGCTGTTGTATGGAGTTCAGTGAAATTCAGTGTAAGATGCTGCTGCTGACAGACAGCAATGAACTTTTAGACTCTGAATTTATACAGACATATACACTCTCTAGTTTAACCCGTTTAAACTCTCTAGATCAACCGTGAAGACCAGCAACATGAAGATTTGCTCAGGCGCCTAGAGCACAGGATTCAACCAGGACCATACTTTTTAACAGCAAACACAAGTGAACAGTGTTTAAAATTAATAAAATTATGTTAATGGTACAGAAAAGCACCAAATCAAAAGATAGTAAAAATGTTAACTATATTCTCAAAGGATTAAATAAAAGGGATATCTATATCAAAACTTGAATGATCCACCAAGAGTAAGATACTTTGGCACATTTAAACAATACTAAAAGTTATTCAGTTGTATTAGGTTTCAAAATGTCTGACATCCCAGACTCATCACTTATCACATGAACCAAAAAGCTGCCTCTGTGATTAACCTTAAGTATTAGGAAGTTTATTGAAAACTGTTATGAAATCTCCATTTTACTTAATTAAAATTCCAGTTGAAAAATATTACATGATGTTACTGGATTTCATGCATATTAGAAAAGTGGCTTCTTCATAAAACACATATGCAACCTGAAACTAAAAATGTAACCACTTACAAAGCCACAATGTTTTCCACAGTTACTAGCATTACAAGAACCTGCTTTCTGAAATTGCACTTGCCCCAAATCATTATGAATAGAAATATTAAAATAAACTTATACTATTCTAAATGAAAATGTAAACCCATGGAGGGGGGGATCTTAAGGTAAAACAACCCCTAAATCCCTGATGTATTGATGTTAAACCTATAAAATGCTTCAACAATTACAAAGTTAATTATATTTGAGTTAACTCTACTCCTTGGTAGCATAGACTTCCAACATTTGTCCCAGACATTTCATTTAAAAAAGTTCATTTTATAGCCTGCAGGCAGATTTAGAGAACATATGAATGGAAATGTAAAGGAAATTTCCATTGCTTGGGTATGTTTCACCAGCATCTTCTGTAGCTCTGTAGAATATGTAAATAACAGCAGAAGGTGGCAGTGCTGAGCTATAAAACATAAAGCATGGAAGCTGCAACTGAAATAGGCTGTCCACAGACCAGGGATGCCACGTTGATCATTATAGACTTTATTATGGATACATAATGTAAAACTCTGAGAAACCTAACCTTTAAACCAAATGTTTATAAAATGAGTAAAGGTATATTCAATAGGAAATCAAGGATATTCAATGGATTCGAGAAATACCTACTTTTACAGCATTGGGAGTCCCCAGTTACACTTTTTTCAAAAGTAGGGAAATGTGTCTAACAAAAGAACAAAATGCAAACCTTTTAAAGGAATCAATGAGACAGAAAGGTCCATGCAGCTTACCATTCATCAGGAGAGCAGCCATAATCCTCAGGTTCAGGGACATGGCTTCAGAAAGGGGCAGAAAGAGAGGGAAAAATAATCACAGAAAGGCTGGAAACATAAAAGTATGAATTAAAGAAGTACTTTAAGATGGATGTTGGAAACGTTAAGAAAATGAGTTTTTAGTTGATCCTGAAAGAATGGCAGTTAGTATAAGAACAGCATGATGATTTATGGCAGGTTTACAAAGTTATTTTATAACTGGATAACCAACTGGATTTTCACGATGAAGTTTACTGATTTTATGCACTGAATTTAGTATTCAGTAGGAAATATCTGAACTTAGAGCTTTAAACACATACCAAAGCCAATGGAAAGTTAATCACATGTCTAATCAGAATAAAGTATCTTAAGGGAACAAACATTCTAATACCTAGGAATAAACTATCAACCTGATAAAATTTGCCCAGTACATTTTAGAAGTAAATTTGATTTTCATGAGTTCTTTATAAACAGGTATATTAACATAAACCTACATTTCTATAATTAAATTGAGCCACATTTTAAAAGACTGAAATTCAAAAATTTCACTTACACCATACTTTACTTATTAAACCATTTGTTCTCTCAAATAGAAAACACATTCATCAATACTTCAATATCATCCATTAGCTCACTTGAGCACTAGAAAAATTTGATTGGCATAGAGCTTCCTTTTCAACCAGTCATGAATTCTGTCAGAAGTGTCCCATAATACATAAAAGAGCAATTTTTATTTATGTATTATAAATTTTTTTCTTTTTTACTGTTAATTTCTTCCCAGCTTTAATGAGATATAATTTGCATATAACACTGTGCAAGTTTAAGGTGTAAAACATGATTATTTCCTGTACTTACATATTACAAAATGGTAACGATCATAGGGTAGCTAATATCTCCATTCCATCACGTAATTACTATTTATTTTTGGTGGAGGGAACATTTCAGATCTATTCTCTTTGCAGCTAGAACAGATTTTCTAATCTTCTATTTCTTTCATTATATATGATCATTCAATATTTTTCCTTTGAATTAAATTTATCAGACATAGATAGGTTTAAAAAATGCAGAGTTCAGTACAAATGCAAACTCATTATTTTTTCACAAATATAAACTGCTGAAAATTTGTGGAAGTTTTCACTCCCTAAATGTCCACCTCACCGTCTTTACCCTTCCACTAAACTGGCCATGATATGAGTCTTATCATTCCAAGGCACCTCTTCCACCTTCGAAGCAGTAAATTGCCCCTAGGGCAGTGCCACTGTTTCCACCCAATCACAATGGAGGCAGTCTCCTTTATTCACTATTCTTTCTTCTACAAAAGGCCTTTTATAGATGCTTGAGAGAAGGGCTAATCAAGCCCTTTGTGGGCTGGACTCCCAGAAGAGGTGATGACCTACTGCAATGCTCTGTAGAAACTGGTTACAGCCCAATGTTTAAGGCAATCACTTTTGATCAACCTTAAGGCTTAGAGTCTGGCCTTGGGACTGTATCAGGGGAGGGCATGGTGCTCCCATGCAAAATGCGGTGCTGAGGTTCTGCTCAGTTGCACTGGTGTTGTAGAGCAGCCCCTGATCACCCCGGGAGAGGGGCCAATGCTTCTCAAGTCATGCAACTTCTAAGCTGCAAAGCTCACACAGGGTCCCTCTCCTCAGGTCGGGACTTCCGATTCAGCCCTGGCAGATACTGAGCACTACTCAGGATGTGATGATCAGCAGCAGACCAACACACCTATGGCTGATCCTGTCTGCATGAGTTTCCTTGATTGCTGCTCCAGCAGCTCTGGTGTGTGTATGCAAGGTCTGGTTATTTGTCTGTGTGCCTGACATTGCTGTCATCTGTGCTGGTAAGTTTGTCACTTGGTCATACTCATTCTTAGATCTCAACTCAGGTATCACTTTTTCAGGGAGCAGACCCTGGCCTCCCTGATTAGATCAAATCCCCAATCACAGACTCACACAGACCTTTGCACTACATAAGGATTTTATATTTGTCTGTATGGATATTCAATTAGCACCCATTAACCCCCAATTAGACTATAAACTCTAAGAGGAGAGGAACCATGTGAACTTTTGCTGATCATTACATCCCCATCATCTAATGAAGTGCCACATACATAAATAGGAGTTAAACATTTGTTGAGGTATATGAATGAACAAATGGATTGTGTTCACCCAGCTTTTACTATAAGTCATGGTGAACAGTAAAATAATTTTGTTGATTATAATCTAGACTTTGGAGCTAAGTGTGATGGTAATTTTAAGGTTTCTCATGGTGAATCTCTTGTCAATGTGAAAAAACTATCAATCCTTTCAGCAAACATATCGCCAAACAATATTATTAAGTAAATTTATTCACTTAGTGTAATCATATATAAAGACTTTTTAAGAACACTCATTTCTTACTAAAGGTAGAATGTCAATGAAATGTTTTTAATACTGAACTGTTCAACAGAAAGCACTGTGTAGTTTGCTTAATAGAATTTTTTTTTAACTTTGGAGATTATACCATGTTATGCCTCACCTAGATTATCAGCTCATTCCAAATTATTGACAATGATGGTATTTAGGATTGTAGTCCAAAATATTCACTATATTGGGAATTCTAGCCACTGAACACAAAAGCTCCTTACCTATACCTGGTATAAAACTGGCTTACATCCCTACAGCAAAATGCTGTAGTGATACTTTAATCAATCTTTAACAGTAGAATTTCTACTTTGCAAGAAGTTAAATTTATGACTTCACGATTAATTTACATTTAACTGAGAAAAGATCTAATGAAGGAATCTAAAGAGTTTAAGCACAGTGGCATCTCTGACAAAGTTGACCTCTACAAAATAATCATCATTGCTAAGTGTGTAGAAATCTTTTCATTTCACTGAACATTATGAATCCAATTTGGGGAATTGGTTATGTGAAATGAGAGAAAACTTACCAAGACTACATTTTGAACCAGTAAGTATTCAATATTATTTCTTATAAATTTACGGAATATTAGGCAAAGATTACACTATGAAGAGAATTCAAATCTTGTCCTTCAAACTGATAAAAGCCAACAGAACACATGTTTGACTCTATCTTGGGTAAAACTAGGCTTTATCTTACTTCTTAAAAATGCTGAAGAAGCATTAGCTATGAAATTGTACCCCAAGGCATTTGTTAGTTTGAAAGGCATGTGAAAGTTTGTATTTTTCTCCCTTGCTTTGCCGAGTCCTGGAGGGATAAACACCATGCTTTCTTCTGCTGGAGCTGGAAGTACAGGTATACAGTCATGCCCCATATTATCAAGTGTTAAACACTGCTACGGTGCAATGGGAGAACAAAACCATGTTATATCCCTGTCTGGGTTCCTATAACCCACGACAGCCCAGAGGAAATTCCCACAGAAAAGTGGTTGGGAGTGATTACTTTTTCTTGCAGAGTTTGGTGTAATTAACAGAGGTACATCTACTATGAACACCCGAGTAGTCTGAAGTCTCAGTTTCCCCAAATACATCAACAACTCTCTGCAGTGCTGACACTGCCCCGTCCATCAGGATGTTTGTGGAAGGGGAGGTTGATAAAAACTCAAGCAGGGTTAAGGATCCTAAAAGTACACACAACCTGTACATGATTACTGGAAGCAGTTTCACAACTAGCTTCAGTCAATAAAGCTATTCTTGAAAACATGATACATCATCCAAGAAAGGGACATGTTTCTGTTTATGTAGGTAAGATCTGTAAACAAAGAACACCTGTTTAGTTCTAAACATATCGGAATTTTTTATTGTTTATTGTCACATTGAATTATCAACAAAGTTGGGACTAGATGTCGTGCCTTATGACTTCACCTCAATATTGAGATGTTATGAGGAAATCTGTTTCACTGGAAATTTAATATGATGACAGTTCTTAACTCTTAATACTACTTTAATATTTTCCAGTCTCAAATCTCCCCTATCCTGTAAGAGTTGTTAATGATGATATCATCAAAAGATCCACGAAGGACACTGCCCTTTAACTACTGTCTGGAAGTGTTTAAAGACTTGTTTCAAGAATAAGAAAAAAACAGATTAAATGCAGAAGAGAGACTACATCTCATTCTAGCTTTCTCTTAAGTTCACAATCAATATACTAATTTGAAGAACTTGCTTATTCATTCAGGAACCAGGCAAAATAAAAAAGGATGTCAATTATCAGACAGATCATTCTAAAAATGACATTCATGAATGCAGGATTTGTGTAAGAACAAACCACCATAAGTCTGTCAGCAAGTATGATGCAACAGACTCTAGAATCACACAGTCCTTTCCTTCTCTCATCTGGGGTAACTGTGGGTTGAATATACATGATGACAAAAAGTGCGGCACCTCTCTTGCTCCAGCAGCTAAGCAAACTACGAGGCCTGTAGCGGCCTGAGTGAGGAGAGCCTCTTTTGTCTAAGGAAATTAGGAGATCATCAGAGAAAGAGGAAAGATGGATGGATCCAGCCCTGGAAACAGTATGTATGCATCTTAAATTAAGCCTGTCTTTACAGTGTGAAAAAGCCACTCAGTCAAATGTCTTTTCAGTTTCATTTATACATAGTTTGAAGTCATTTTTAGTGACACCCTCTGCTAACCCAAAGAACCCCTCCGTCTATTTCCCTTTGTAGACCCTGTGATATACAGTGTAGCAGTAACCGCATGCTTTTGGAAATTTTCACCAAATGGTTATTTATTTATAATTTTAACTAAGGCATTTTCAAAATTCAATACACCATTTTTATACCAGCTGACTGCTTAGAGGCAGGGTGTGAGTGGGAAAGAGCAGGTACAAGCCAGAAAATCCCAAAGCAAGTGCTCATGCTTGTGTGGCTATGAGACTGGTATTTACTAGTCTCACTGTAGATAAAGATGGAAAATTTGATAGTCGGTCAATCAACCAGGAGTTTCACCTTTTGATGTCTTTTTAGGTAATGTGGAAATTACTTTTCTCAAATTATCTTATAAAGTATTTCAAGAAGAAGGCTTTGGAAAGTTTTGGCAAGCATATCTGGAAGGTACAATTGGGCACACAATGAGTATATCCTAAAGGACATCAAGAGCCTGAGAAAAGCTTTTGCAGGCATTCCCTATCCTGTGGTCTTAGGAGTTTCACATCCCTGCCTCCATCAGAAATTCAGATTGCTCTGTGATTGCTAAGAGGAGAGATGATAAAAGAACAGACAAATCAAAGGGATACCTAGCAGAGAACAACTTAAAACTTAACTTAAAAACTGCCCAAGGACAGACTGTACCTTCTTACCACATGAAAGCTGTACTCTACCTTTATGGCAATACAGTGGGAAGTGTATTTGTACTTTATTACCAGAGTCAAATAAAGATCTTTGGCAATTCTAAACACTGAAATATTACTGGGCAGAGCCCCCACTTCACAGGTAATTCCAAATGAAAAACAATACCAAACTACAAATACAAAGCATACATGCATGCTGAAATTAAAACAGCTGCTTTCTAGATTAAAAAAAAACTCTCCTAACAAAAAAATCTCAAAATATACCTAACTGTAAGCACTAATTAAATGTGCATTTCATATTCTAACTAAAGGGAAAAAACTCACCCATAAGCAACTCCAGCTACGGTGCACTTCTTAAACTGCATTACATTGCACGTCAGAGTACCAGTTTTGTCAGAAAATATGTATTTTACCTAAAAAAGTTTGAAATTTCTCATTAAAATTTCATAAGTCTTTTTATGACAGTCTTTTATAGAGGGGGTGGGAAAAACCCTTATTCTTTTTATCAATTTTGTTACATTGTACGGACACAATGAATGCTATTAATTGACTACTTTCTGCACATAGATTAAGGAAATTCAAGTATTTTTTAAAAGTATTTTAGCAATGATGCATTTCATATATGAACACTGAATATTAAGAAGATGTTAGAAAAAGTACAGCCATGTAGAACTGGGCCTTAGTATGTCTGGATTTCCACTAGGTAGTGCCACTATTGCTACTGAACATTTTATGGAGCACTAACCATCTTTCAGTATTTCTCAAAACAACAATTATAGAACTGACAATAGCTTGTGCAATTAGCTTCATATACCATCTGAATTGGTAAGAGGAAGGATAATTCTGGCTTAAATGCTATTTGAGAAGTAAGAGTTAGCAAATGGCAATAACACAAAAACAGAAGTTTTTCTCAGCTAGTATGCATAAACAGATTACAAATACACACATATGTGAACATAGTATGAATTATAAACCTAAAATTCCTGTTTGACTACTATTATACTTCGACTTACACAACTTCATTGATGAATCTAACGTGGTCTTCCTTTCTAGTCAGAAGTTATGAACAATTTTCATACTGAGAGAGTTCATATTAAAACAGCCAACACTTTACTACTAATCAGTTTCTAACTGAAGCACAACCCTCAGCACAGTATGGTATATGTGGAGGTAAAATATGCTTTTAATAACATTTTAATAACTTCATTTATAAAAATGAAAATTGATAGTTATGTACTAACATGTAATTATTCCAATAATGGAAAATTAAGAGCTAATTCATCTGAAGTTGCCACATGCAGCTGAAATTACAATGAATCTGACTTCCAATTCGACATACAACAAGAAATTTAATTTACCTGGCCAAGCTCCTCGTTCAGATTAGATGTCCGAGCCATAGCAGCAGTGTCTGTGGGTTCATAGTGCATGTCGAGATCCTTTTTTTAAAAAAAAAACAAAAGAAATCATTGAATACAATTGGTAATAAGAGATGGAGTGAAATTATATTTAACTAGTGAGCTAAGTATGTAACCACTTTCATCTCTCACCACCCCTACACCATTTCAGCTGACTTCTCTGGGAAGTATGGAGTACAAAATAATATATTTCACAGTAAGGGCAGGACAGTATAGTAATTAGAACATATTTCTGGGACCAGGCAATCTTGATTTACTATTATTCCACCATTTTTTGGATATGAGACCTACTTAAGGCTAAATAAGATAATGCATATAAAGAGCTTCCTAAGGTGTCTCATACAATGTAAGTGATTAAGGTAGACTAAAATAACAATGACTAAACATTGCCCAAATAATTAAGACTTTAAACCCCTGGAAGACTTACCTAAGAGGTTCTATCTACTTGTACTCTATTGGCCAAGTTTCTTACACTCCATATACTTGAAAACAAAATGAGAACACTTCTCAAAACCCAAATAAAAATATATCATTTAAGTACCAATAGTTACTTGCATTGTACCCAGAATTTATGAGGTTTGGCTATTAATCCTATAAAAATTAGTACTTTCTATGGTATAATATTTTATTGACAAGTCAGGGTTTAGTGATTTTCACATGTCAAATGAAAAAGTCAAATCTAATCTCTCTTACATCCACTTCAAGACTGATCAGTATTGGTTCAGGAATAGGTTACTGAGTTGTAGGGGCCATGTTTTAAGAGGTATATTTTAAACAACAGGGCAATGTTCAGAGAGGAATAACCACAAAGGGGATTAAGTTGGAAATCAAGTCAAATGCAGAACAGAAGATGGAGGATATTTGGTTAGGCGGGGAAAGATATGATAGAGAGTAGGCATGAGTTCAAATACTTTGCAGAGCTGTCACTTCGAAATAAATTAGACATTTTCATAAAAGATCTATTGGGCAGAACCAGAATCAGAGGGTGGCAGTTACCATCTCATTTCCACAGAAGGAAGAAGCTGCCTGGCTAAGGCCAGACCTGTCAGAAATGTTATAAAATATCTCTCTATTAGAAAGGTGGTTAGAAAGTATAAGCCTGCTGGGTTCATTCAACACAAAAATCATATAATTATTTGAAGTAAATACTATTTTTGAAAATCCAAATAAGAAAATAATAAAGTGATGGACTACTTATTTGATTCTTACAATTAGTTACCTTGCTGTTTCTTACATTGTAAGTGGGAAACATTGAAGAAGTCTTAATTTTTATTCGTACAAGTTTTATTACACAATTTTTTCAGCAACATACCTCCTATGTGAAATGAGCTATGCCTGCATCTCATTTTAGATTTCTAAATTGTACTGCTCTTTACCAATAAATTAAGAGACTGACAGTTGAGTGGACAATTTACATTGGGAAAATAATGAGTATTTTGCAAAAGTATCATCAGTTTAAAAAAAATCCTAATATTGTTCATAGTGACTTTTAAATGATTTATAAGGAAACAACAAAAAATAATACCAAAATTTCTCAAAATAAAAAAAAATTGAGCTTGCTGGTATATTAGGTCTAAAGATTTAATTTACATAAATTCATTATTTTAACTTCGGGAAATAAATTATGGAAGAATCTATTTTGTAAACAAAAAATTTAAGAAACAGATGTCCAGTACATTTTTCCAAGATTAAAAATTTAAGAAAACAAATTAAGAAAAATTCAAGCACTGCTGAAATTATTTACAGTGTGGAAAAACAAACTACATAGGGGTATATAAAAAAGATGTTAGACAGCCTTGTTGTTACAAGTAGTGAATACAGTATTATTTCTACAGTGCTCAATTGGTTAGGAAGCTATCTGCTCTGTTGTGAGGTTTCTTTGATCTGTGCTACCACTGTGAGATGCAGTTAAGCATGCTTTATCATTCTTTGTGAGTGCCCAAGAAAATATGTCTTGAAGAAGTGAAGTGGTCTGGCAAGGTGCACATAGCTCATAAATTATAGAACTGCAACTACAATCTAGATTTTAAACTCCAAACCGCATGGTTCTCCTTTTCTCCAAGACAACTCTGTAGTCCAAAAGAGGTGTCCTGAACTAGAGACCTATTTTCCCCAGGATGTCTGGACTGTAAACCTATGTGATTCTGAGATGAGAGACTTTATTACTGATTTTCACATGTCAAAGGAATTTTTTATAAGTACATAATAAGGCTCAAAATTTTCTGAAAATGTCACTGTGGAGTCAATAAAAGGTAAAGTATAAGTAGGATTTTTTTTTCCTCTGAGAGATCAGAAGACCCTATCAGGAAAAAAAGACAAAATGTATATTTAAAATGATCAAAAGCAATATTAATTCATATTTACCCAATTTATGAAGTATGCCTGGGTAAATTTCACCACTTCTAATGTAACCAACAAGCTGATAGGAATGAGATTGTTGAAAAGGATGATGAAGGTCAAGAAATTCAGTCCAAAATTACTAGCGCCACCATCTGTTGGGGGAGGTGGGGAGAAAGTCATTTATGCTTTATATTTTGTGTGCGCTGACTGTAACTTTAACATAACAAGAATTTCTCATACAGCATATCTAGATAGTTTGGGAGGAACACTGTTTGATAACATATCCTTAGTCTCAAGTACAGTCTTGCTATTTGGAATAGCAGTATTTGTGTTCAACATATTGCTAATCCTATTAAGGACTGCATAATGGTACAAAAAGTGAAAGTATTAGCAATTATCTCAAATCCTGTTCCAAAAACAAAGTTTACAGATATTAGGGAAATACTGAGGGTTTGTGGATGTAAAAATCTCAATTGGGTAGAATCACTTGTACATAAATTCTTGAAGACATTTCCAATTTAAAGCATGCCGTAAAAGCAAAGTAACAAAACAACAGCAAAACAAACCCAAACAGCAAAAAGCAGTGCAAGGCTGAACCCCTGTTAAATTCAGTCCTTGGTGAATTTTACTTTCCTCCTCAATAATGAAAATAAAACAGCCATCCCAGAAGTATATGACACTTTGTCATGCTGTGAAGTATATGACAAAGTGAATTGATGGTAGTCGTAACAGTTCTGATGTAGAAATAGTATATCAATGACTGGAAAAAAAAAACTTGGAATAGCTGCAAAGCTAAATCAATATAATAAAAAAAGCTGAAATCAATTTTGCTATAAGATTTAACTAGAATTTGTTTTTATACTTTTGGAAATTAAGTATATATTGGTTAAGAACTCATCAAAAGAAAATGCCAACTTACTTTCCAGAAGTGTTCAGAGTGGGTACATTAGTCCCACAAGACTAAAAGGATAAATGCACCAAAAGGGAACTATAATAGTACTTTCTCTAAGATAAGATGACTATTAACACAGAATTCATTACATTCATGGGCTCAAAGGGAAGTATATTCAACTTAAACCCTTTAAAAGCATTTAAACTACTTTTTGGTGCATAAAATATACATAATCACCTTTTTAAAAATCAGATAGTTATCTAACTACCTGCATCAAAATATTTTTAAAGAATAACATTAATTAAAATAATTTAAGTAAAATAACATTTTATATTACTTTGGAGACCTCATTATGTTTCTAAGGATTCTGGAATTTTAGAGATTCTAGTACTTGACTTACTTTCACTAAAAACTGCATTGAAAAATAAAGATTAATTGCCTAATTATCTTGGCACCTAAGTTTTCCTTTTAGAAATCATAGGAAATTCCAAGAATAGCTGTGAAGCAAATACACATTTTAACAAATGAAAAAATAAGTACAATAACCACTTCAATGCTTACAGTTTAGATTGAGATACCAGTCCTTTCCAGAATGCCTTCGATTCCAAATGGCTGAGCCCACAGAACATATGAGAGACATGGCAATCAGGATACAAAATAAAATCAAAATTTGTACGTTTGTGATCCGTTCCACATTTGAGAGTTTAAGTGGTGGACTTGTCGAATTCTGGAAAAGAAACAAGATGAATAAAAAAAAAAGTGTGCACAAATAATTTAGCAATTTGATGAGAGTGATAAAATAAGTCACAACTTAAAATCTAGACATGGTAGACACATGAAAATTATACAGAAAACATTCATAGATGTAATAACTTGCCAAAGATGAACCATTTTTTTTTTCTGAAGGCCACTATATAATCCAAGCCTTTGGCTAGGATGTAAAACAGTAAGGAAATGACATTCCATTTGTAGACAGTGCTTTTGCATTGTGGCAGGTAAGATGAACAATGTATTAGCTGACTTCTTCAGCAGACAGGGTAGACTAGAAGTATCTAGCATCTCTGCTTGGGAAGACAGGCAGAGAAGGTGGCTGATGCATCCACAGCACAGACTTGGACATTCCAAAGGATGAAGACAATCTTTAAAGAACCTCTGGCTTCTAGAATTCTGGTGGCATTTAGTAATTGCACTGAACGCAGCTGTAATTGAAGCAGTCCTGGCTATAAAGAATAATAGGGGCAACTTTTCTTATCTGTATATAATGACAAAAAATGGTTATGGTAGATCTGTGCTAACCAAGGTATCTGTAGAACAGGCAATTATATCTGTCATAATCAGTATAAAATGTAGAGAATTTACTGAATGATTAGGGGTGGAATCATTCACTGTAGTCCCGCTTGCCCATTGATAACATCTTTGTGTCTTTACAAAGTTATCAGTCCTTAAAGCAGATTTTCATTTAGTATCTTACAACTAAGCTTGTCATATTCATCTAACCACTGGACACTCATGATATTGTAACAGAGAAGGAGCATCCACATGCATGTGTAAACATTACAAGTACTAAGATTAAAGTGGATTAAAAATAGCCTTTTATAAGACTGGTGTGAAAAAATGAAAATAAGTTCTAAAATATGACCACTGTATTACAACAAAAATATGAGACAAACACTTTAATGCAGAGCATTTGTTATAACTCAGATCGATCCCCGCAGTGTTACCCACGGACCAACACACAAAATCATGGAGAGTTCATGCATTGGGTGGCCTCTGGTGGAACCTTCTAATACTCTTGTGTGCACTGAGCCACTCACTGTACAGCCTGCAGGTACAGTGGGGGGCTCAGGAGTCTGTGACAGATGATCTGCTATGTTTGGGACTACAAGCTACAAATGACACATTTTAAAAGACTTAGGTCCAAAAGGTTTTCATAGGTAAAAAAAAAATCCCACCTGCATCAGCTTGGTGTCATGTCCAGTGTAGACAACTATTCCATGAACCCACTGTGTATTTCTCAACTGAGCGCCTCGAAGAAGGATCTGGTCAGCCCCCAGGGGAACAGTGCTGTGTCAGATCATATTGACATTAGGAACGACATTTTCTGACATGCTTAAGAATTCTACAGCTACTATATAATTCCAAAAAAGTTTCTGTTATTAAAATAACCCTTCCCACATCTGCTTTATTTTTAGAAAAGAAGTACTTTTTCTACCAATAGGAGTAATTTTCTTACACAAGGAGAGCTGGAGGGAAGCTTTCCAGTTACTTAACGCCAAACCAGCCACACTTCCTACAACTTCCCTATCCATGTTGGTAAGCAATGTTTTGGGATTAGGAGGCTAATTCTCAAACCCATTTAAGACTTCTGATTTAGTAAGTCTGTTTTAAGTTTCTGAGATGTTTGCAAGTGGTGAGGTTAGGGGATATGTTCCTTCATCCATACTTGCCTTTAAATTAAAAACAGCTTTGTGCATTACAATGGTTCAAAAAATATACAAAATAAAGAACTCATCATACATTTGCACTACCACCCCTACTCTCTAAACATAAGTTCTTGTATTTAAAATCTCTCGGACATTCATTTTATTGTATCTGAAGATCAGTTCTCCACGAACTGTGGATAAACCTCCATATATGGTAAGCATCTAACAAGTCTTAAATACTCTTCTGAAATAACAGCAAATTGAGCCTAAGCATTCCAATTTAAGCCATATTTTTCACGAATAAGGGTCAAGTTGGATCTTCCATAGTTTTTTGTTTTTTTTTTTTTTGCAAGGCTATCCACTATGGTATGTTTTTGGAAGGTGCCACCTCACACCGAGTTATCAGAACGGTCTAAGCTATTACAGATACAGTGGGATTCTTGATGGAAACACATTACACAAAACTTAATGGCTCCAGGATTCCTATCAGTATGATTCCATTTTAATAAGAAAAAAAAAAAAGAAAGAAATGTCAAATAAAAAGAAAAATACATTAAAAAAAAAAACCTTCCAGGAAAAGAAGGAAATAATTTCTTCCAGAAAAGTCTCCAGAGAACACAGAACTTCTTTGTCAGTGGTGGCAAAGGGAGACTGAAGCTTTTGTTTCTGGGGAGCTTTCAGGGTTCAGCAGGCTTCTAAGACCATGAGTACCTTGGGCCTTGGGCTCTTCTTTCAGAAACTACACAAGCGTCACTGGCTCAGGAGAAATCAATCCAGGTGGATGATAATAACAACACCTGTAGTCTTCCACTTAAGTGAGTAAATGCTTAGGTATTTCCATAGCATATTCCAATTCAGAAAAAGAACACAGCAACTGTAACTCTCATTCTTTATGCACAACAGCACATCTTTCAGACCCATCTGGAAGAGAACCCCTCTTTCAAGATTTGGGGTGCATGTGCAAATTGGGAGGGGGCCTCAGGCCTAATGCAGGTTTCCAGGAAGCTCCTGGGAAGCTGCTGGACTGCACAGGGGCATGTATATGCCAACTGTTCCTCATATGTGCAATGGGGTATAATATGGCCATTATACCCCATTTGTGGTATGGCTTGATTGGAATTGGGTAAATTCTTCAAAAGCTAAAATATTACTTTTCAATTACAGGGGCTCAACAAGAGGTAGTTATTATTAATTTTCATCAGAGTTGGAATTCTAAAGCTTCTGGGATTAGATGATGACCCTAATCCTTAGTGGAATCAAAGTATACTCATTCCAAACAAAGGGGCTCCAAGACCTCTGGGCAATCACTGTAAAAGTCAGATGTGCTACAAATACTAAGGTATTAAAAATCTGTTTCCACCTTTCAAATAAATGAAAGCACATTACATAGATTCTGCATGTACCCAAAATATTGGCACCATCACACAAAGTTTATCCTTCACTGCATGGACTTGCTTGTTAATTTGATGGGAACTGATAAGAAATGGAAGCTGGCCAGTTGGGAATGTCAGACTACAGAAACATTACTTGTATAAATGGCCAAATCTATCATTAGTCTATAACCATATGTTCATGGAAAGATCACTTCTGCAAATTTTAGAACAAAATACAGTACTTCAAGAACTGAAGGAAAGCTTTTGGTAGATCTGAATGAAGATGATAGTTCAGGGTATACTTCAAATGTCCTTTAGAATTCAAAAGCTCTAATAATGCAATTACAAAATAACTAAAATACTGATAATCTCTCAGGCTGGTGGGCTGAATTAGTGCATTTAGCTGCATTTTGCCAGCCACTACAAAAGCCTGGTAAATAAGGTACACCATACAGTATGGGAGGCAAGGAAAAGGGAGGGGAGGGCAAGGGGAAAGAGAAGGGAGGTAGGAAAGACTCCACCTTTTCTGCCAGGTTCTGCCCCACTTCTTTGCTCCCTTTCACAACAAAACTCATTGAAAAAGTGACTATAACTTGCTCTTTTTATCTCTTGTTCCATTACCTCAAACCTATACTTGTCAGGCTCCACTTGTTCTAATGAAGCTCAAGGATCTCCACTTGCTAAATCCAGCTGTTAATTCTCAGCCTCCTTGTACTTAACCATCAGCAACATCTGACCCACTTTTACCCCCCTCCACCAAGGTACAGTCTCTTCCACTCTCTTGGTTTCCATCCTATCACCTTGACCTCAGTCACTGGTCCCCCCTCTTTTCCCTCCTTTGATGTTGGAGGGAAAAGGACTGTCATTGGTGCTCTTCCCATTTCTGTCTGTACCCTTTTGCCCCTGGTGACTTCTTCCACCCTCATGGGATTAAATATCTATGCCAACTACTCCCAAATTTATCTCATGAACCTAGACCACTATCCCAAACTCTAGGCTTATATATTCAACTGCTTCTTAGACATGTCTGTTTAGATATTACAAACTTAATTAAATCCAAAACAGAACTGCTGCTATTCCCCTTCAAGCCCCTCAAATGTATCCCCACTTCGCTCAGAATGCTACTCTTACAATGGCCTATGAAGCCTGTCACGTCAGGCCCACTACTATCTCTGAGCCGTTGGTCACTCCACTTCAACCACACTAGCCTGTCTAATATCCCCTAACTACTCCTGGCATTTTCCCGCTTTAAGATGATGCAATGATATAACCAATAATTTGCTCTGACTATTCCTCCTATCTGGAATCTTCTCCACCCATATTCATATGGTAACTTCCTCACCTCGTACTCACCTTGTTCAAATGTTGTTATCCGAATGAGGCTTACTGCAACTCCTTACCTAAAAGTGATTCCCTCCCAAAGACTCCCAATCTCCTCTCTCCCATGCTATTTTTTTCCAAAGCATTTATCACTTTCTAATGGAGTACAGAATTTTCTTGTTTATTATTTGATTGTTTGTTTGTTTGCTATTCCCTTAGCTCAAGAAAGTAAGCTCACAGGGACAGGTGTATTGATCTACTTTGTTTATTGCTGTGTCCTTAATATCTGTAACTAGTCTAGCCCAGTAGATGATTAATGAATACTGGTTGAATCAATGAGGGGAGAGGCAGGAAAGAGGAGAGGGGCAGGAAGCATGTAACAGCGAAGATGATTACAGATGATAACATGGCCTATAAAAGAGCAATTACGCAGAGAAGAAGAAAAGAAACTATCCGGGACAATGCAGGTAGAGTCTGAACTCCTTGAGGCATCTAGAGATCACAGGGAAGGATCCAGGTCACGGAGACAGCACAGTTAGACCTACCTATATAACAGAAGTACTCTGGCCAAAGAATAAGCCACTAACCAATGTGCCAGAAGCTTGACATATCCCTGAAAACATCCGATTGTCAGGTTGGCAGGAACCCTGGGTAAGTCTTCAGCTGTGCTTTACACATAAGGTTAGGAGCTAGGGTTTTCATGAGACAACTCAAAGTAGAAGTAATATAGAAATGTTTAAGAAAAAGGTTTTAAATGCTCAAACTTAGAGCATAAGAAAATAATATGTACCCAGGCTTGGAAGACACTCAGCAACACATGGCGACCCAGTGAATTTTGTGCTTTTTTGTGAAGGCTGATTTTACATACCCGTGTCCATCAAGCCGTATGTTTCCAACAAAATCATAGAGATGTCTGTTTGGACTTTCACACTCGATTCTGCCAGAAATTCTCATCAAACTGTCAATGTCCTTTATATCTGATGTTGCTGGTAAGCCCTGTTTAGAAATTTTTAAGCAAGCAAAGAATATATTAAGTGAGTTGTGTGTGGGAGGACGAGGGGAATTCTGCCTCTAGGGAACTTCTCCATCTAGGCCTTAGGATCTAAGAGATTCTCCCATCTTGTATGATACTCTGTCAAATCATAGTTGAGGAATACCTTCCTCTTTACTCGAACACAGTTTTTTAGCACAAGCATAGGGTAGCTTTTGTGAAAGTTTTAAAATATATTGAAGTGATTGCTATAATCTAGTCTGTGCAGATACTTTGAAGTAAGTTCTCAAAGAACTGTTTGCTTCCAGAAATAAGATATGTAACATTATACAGTCTGTCTGCTGAATCTCAGAAAGGGAATGCACAATGAATAGAATCTATATTCCATAGGAGTAGTGCTGTTTCTGTTCTTGCAGCCCACTGACAAGGAAAACTCCAAAGGAGCTCCTTCCTCTGACCAGCTAGAACTGGCTGTAACTGAACAGGTCCCCACTTCCTATGGTACTCAGTTCAAGTGCTGTGATGACCTATTCCCACCATATCCCAACCTGACACATACCATTTCATCATTCGCCTAGAATCCAAGAGAATACCTGTTTAAAAACCTTTTAAAACTTTAAAGTAAAAACTTTGTAGTTGCTTTGTCAGGGATAGTATGAGAAGTGAATGTAGAAAACTACACTATTCCCTGAAATTAGTGAGACTTAGAACAGCGACGGAAACTCTATCTTTACAATATGGCCAAGCCAAATAGCACGCCAGGTGAATAAGCTAACGCATGTCAAAGCACTTAGAACTACTAATAGCATTATTATCAGAATGTTAGCTATTACCTAAAATATTAAAAATATTATGAATAGTATCTACATGATGGACCAAATTTATTCAGGGAGGCACATCTGAATCTTCCATAATACATTAAGGATACCACTTTATAAAACCCCTTCATTGTGGCTTAATTAGAACTACTTCAACTCAAAACAGTAAGAGTAAGAAGTAAAGCTCCTGATTCCACATCATAAAACAGCAACAATGATATAAACCTGTATTAGATCTTACCTGTCTAATTTTCAGGTTTGTTTCACCATCTAAGTTGGATGTTTCAATGTAACACATGGCCTGGGGCTCGCTGTTGTTTAAAATTGAAAAGCAAAGATTTAGTGGAGGAAGGAGAACTTAATAACAGCTTATTTAAATGCTCAGGCTCACAGAAGCCTTTTGTTCTAAACAAAGCTTTAGTTGCCTAGTTTCTTGAAATTCATTTTAACTGCAAAATGCTGTGAAGCAGAACCCATGCATGACAACTCATGGATCAGCTTTTCAGCCAGAAGGACCCAAAAGCAATTTCCTGGCAACAATCAGTACTGATCTTCAAGATAATGTACATAATTAGATTTGTCACATTACACTTGAATTGCTCACCATATAGACATAGCAAAGACTGTATCTGAAATATAAAGCAGTTTTAGGTCCAGATTCCTCTTTAGCTTAAAAATATCAAGTGAGATTTCATGCTTGCAGCCTATGTGCAAATTGGTTAAGGAGACTGGTTGATTAGAAAATTCCAGATTGTTGCTTCTACAAACTTGCATTTACTACCCTTTCAGAAAGGATGAGTTGAATCATATGAACCATAATATTTAAAGTTCAAGGCTACTTTTAAAAACTGCATGAACAGATTTTACAATGAAAGTGGATATATATCTTTCTCCCCTTATTTTTTTTTTTAAGTTGCTATTTTTTTTTTAAGTTGCTCTGGCAATTGCTCTTAATTTTCTGCCTCAGAGATTCTTGTGGCAGAAAAAGCTAGAACCAAAATCAGCCAACTTCGCCACCTTGCTGTCTGACCTGAACCTGCAGATCCACTTTATGGGTGGCCATCATTGTTTTAGTAAAGTCTGTTGTACAGTGGCTGGTGTAAGGGGTCCGTGTTCTCTAGTGTTATCACAGGTACCATACACTGGACTGCTTACATCCTTCCCTTTCACGTACTGAGTTTGTAATTGCCCAGCAATTATAAATAAGGTGTTTGCAGGCCAACTGCATACGATCCTCAACTATAAAGAAAAGCATTCTGAAGTTAAATCAATCTTATTAGCACTTGGTATATAATAAGCCTAATTAACCTACATCATTTAAGTATCTATGAATGTAATTTCTGATAAGCATATGTATTCAAAGTTAGAAATTTCAAAGTTACAAACACTTGGAATTTTCTAATCAACTTCCAATTTTTACATGTGCATAATAGACCATCCTGAATTTCTGCAATGAGCATGTGGCTTAGTTTTATGGCCTGATGGTTTGTGAAAATTACTGAAACCCATGTTCATTGGTTAAATATTTTACAGATTCGTTTGAAAGTAACTTTTCAAGTTCTTCAATGTACTCCATGGGTTTTGTTTTATTTTTTCTATAAAGATACTTTTTCCCAACTGGAAAAGTTCTTCAATATTTATATTTTCACTCTTCTAATTATTCAAAGTTTTATTTTTTTATTAGTGCCTTAATAGTAATTTGGCTCTGGCAATTGCTCTTAATTTATAACTTACATATATATTTGAAACATTAATGGTATATGAAATTATAAAACATATTTTCTGATAATATAAAAGCATGATGACAAACACTACATGAACATTGTTGATTCAATATTTTGGCAGTAAAATGTATTAAAGTATTTCTGATCAATACATCCACGGCCATTCTCATATTAAAAGAGAGTAACATCCTAATTGTATTTCTACTTTTCCTCAAAGAGCAAATTTTCTAGGACTTTAAATGGCAAGGAAGTTAAAAAGTTAAATAGCTGACTTCTATTTGAAGTGAGGTAAATAAAATAGGCATCCAAATTCAGAACATTCTTAATCCCTTAAGACAGCTGTTGCTGAAGCACTTAACAGTGCTATGAAAGGCAGCAAGAAGTCTCAGGTAAGGAATCCTGCCAAATAGACACTTCAGTGAACTATGGTGACATCCAGAACATAAACTACAGTGAGAGAGGCAAAGCAGGCTTTTTGATTAGTAAGTGGAAAAATGAAACAAGATGCATATCACAATACAGACACTAGTAGATAGCTGAAATTTATCACAGTAACATGCACTCTGTCACTAGTTACAAGTGGGATAAAAACTGATCCCAAAGCATGCGGTACAAAGTGTACAACATCCAGCTTTGTGCAGGGGGTCCTCTGTAAACCCTATACAAGCCCAAATTATAGTCGTAATTGCTAAAGGGATTCTGTAGAAATTACAGAAAATTTCAAATGTAAGAAGACAAATGTTGAAAATCTTAAAAATTTCTCAATAATTCATTTCATTAAAAGCTTAATGTTATGCAGAACAATATCCTGGAGAGGAATTAAAATAAGCCTTCGTATTCAGGCATGTTGTTAAGTATGAATATATTAATGATACACAGGAAACTAAAATCTACATTTACTGGCATGCTTCATGGACTCCTATTGATAACAATAGGAGCTGAATCTGCCCTCTTTCATAAAAGGCCTTTAAAACATCTATGAAATGTCCATCACCAAGAAGTATAAAAAATTTTGTGTTTTAAAGGAAGAGACAGAACTCAAAGCCATTTTTGGGTGTAACTCCTCTCTGGTGTAGGGTGAGGATCCACATACACACATCCTGTATGACTCAGTGGTTCTAACCTTGAGGACAGGCTGATGAGATCTGCTGGGAGATGTTCCCCATTGGTCACTTTCACTATTTCCCCTACTGTCACCTACAGGTCCCAGTTTAAAATAATTAAAATGGAAAAAAAAATGAATAACAGAGAAAAAAACAAATGGACAAAAGAGACAGAAAGTTTGAAATTATTATAGAAAATAATACATGTTAATAGAAACGTCTAATGCCAATTTTTTCAAAACCCATTTTGATCAGGTCTAAAGGCACAAGAAATATTTAAGGATTACTTATTTGCTTTTAAGCCCAATTTTCAATTTTTAATATGAAACTTTTGACTTTTTAAAGTTTATTCACAAGCATTTATCAAGTAAGAATATGTTTTTATAGACAGAGTGACTTTATCTTACAGATTTTCCTTTCTTCAATTCCTCACTCTCATGTCATCCACTCTATGTCCACGCCTACCCAAGAAGGAAAGAAAGGATTGTGGAAACTATTTTTTATGCTTTTGAAAAACCAAGTATACTATACTAGTTCTCCCCTACACACATGCTAAAAAAAACCCCTAAATTAGAAGTTTTCTGATTCCAAAATGTTTTCAAAGATAATTGAATTCCTATCTTATTATGCAAAGCTGAAAAAACATGGATCGTAGGATATTAGAAGGCATAACTGCAGCCTTTTGAATTACTTAATAATTAACAAAGTCTAGGTAATGTATTGTTTAGGGAGGGCAAGCCTTTGAGCTCAGGAGAAATTTTTCAGAGAGAGTATGAAATAGACATACCAAGTACCTGGTTTGGTCTGAAAAGCTGAAGTTATTTTACTCTATTTTATATTTTTTAAATATGTATGTGTATTTGTTATATACTAAAATTTCAGTGTCTTCATTTCAAAGTGAAAAATCAATGAAACATTAACTTTCAACCATGCTCATGCTTTAATTTCATGCTATCTCAAAGAAGGTGCACTATTATTATGTAAACAAAAAATGCTTGGAAATTAAAATATTATAAATTATTGTTTATGCTTGCTGCTAAGTGGTGCTTTTTCTGTAGGTGAAAATCACCATGTTCTTATTCTGATAGTGAAAAATGTGGCATAAAGAAGATATTAGATTAGGAGTTAAATATTCCAACACTGACCTAGTCATTAGCTAAAGTTAAATGGCAAAATTTAAGACTTAAAGACAAAATTCCTCTTTCTATTAAATGATGACAAAACTTCTCCCTACTTCTTAAGGCTAATGTAGATCCAAAAAAGTGTCAAGTAATGTGAAAATCCTTTGAGAAAACAAAACAAAAACAAAAACTGCAAAGTGGTATTTTGCCAATTGGGTAGAAATATCTAACAGCACGAACTTTATACTTTACTTTGAATCCTACTAAATAACACAAAGCAATGAATCAGATAATCTTTTTAAAAATAATAATCTTTTAAGGAAGTTAAACATTGTAGGTGTTATATTAAGATGTAGAAACTATTTTGATTTACCAATATTTATATCCACCAGTGAATGCTTTTAATGCTGAGAAATAAATCCTGTGATAATGTTCTAAAGTTTAAGAAATACAAGCATAGAGCTTAGTGGGAGTTTCTGGTTTCTGGGACTCAATAGAAGCAGATGAAAAATATTTGGAGAAAACTTTCAACTTAGAATAAAGTAAACTCAGGCCAGTAGGGTCAATTGTGTTCATATTTTGAGGATACAAAAAACAAATACTGTAATTAATAGTTCAGCATACACGATGCTTTCTATAAGTTATGTCTCTCTGATAAGTTTAATCAGGAAAAGAGCAACGCTTTTTTAAATTGCTGGACTGCTTTACTATCTCCTTGGATTTTGTTACATGGCATTCAGGTGGTCCATCGTCCATCACATTTATCAAACTTTTACTTAGTACCACCAAGTGCACACCATTCTGTTGGTTAGGCATTCTGCTGGTTCATTTAAATGAAAGATTAGGAACTGAAACAAAATGGAAAACTGGAGACTATCTGAATTTGATCCTTTGATCCATTTTCCTACTTTAAGAGATGTAAAATCAAGGCCTCAGAGATGAAGTATTTTGTTCAGAGTCACCAGGATTAGAACCCCAGTTTCCTGACTCCTAAACACAGCTCTCTTGTACCTGATGCTACCTGGTCCCTGAGACACAGACAGTGAGCCTGGTTATCCTCATTCTCACCCAGCTGTGTGTGGACCGTTACCTGTACTTCAGTTTTAGAAACTTGCCCTGATAAAGCTCTCAGTAAAGGCAACTAATAGCAAAAGATTGGGTTAAAAACCTAGTAATATTAATTTTTTCTGAAAAGAGAATTTAGAAGCATGTGACATAAAAAATTCCCAACACTAAAATATGGCAATTGAACCTCCTTACTTCCATGAATATCTGGATGACTCTTACTTGCTCAATTAAGTTTCATTAACTTGTCATAAATCCAATCACTTTAAATAGTGACCTGATTAAACAGATTTTGAGAAAAGGACACTGTCCATATTTATATGTGGATTTTACAAATAAAACTGTCCAAGGAAATGATGATAAACAACCTCTAAAATATTAAATACACATTTTTTTCCTTAATTATATCATGTCTAGCTTTACAGTTTTTAAACCTAAAACCATGTGAAAGTCACATTCTTTAAAGGGGAACAAACAGTGCCATATGTTCTCAATACTAATTCATGACTACTTTAAATATGAGAAACAAAAATAGCTAAATTCAGTAACAGAAAGGAACTTAAAAGAAAGTGCAAAGTACTTTAATTTTTTGTTGGAAAAGTATGGCCTTTCAAAAGATATGATGACAAAAAAGAAGTCATTCATTTTCTTGTATCCATAGCACCACAAAGATCAAGTAACTTGGAAGGATATACAAATGCATCAAAAAGGAATTTATCATGGCAAGAATTGTAAGATAAAATCAATAGAATCCAGTCCATGTATTATATAAAATGAATAACAGGAAGTCTGATAAGAGTAGTCCACAGGAAAGGATCTGGACATGTCCAGAGGGACAGCAGACTCTTAATTGTAATTGTAACTTTTGAATTATAAAATATAGCACCTATCACTTATTCTATATGGCAAACATGAAAGAGTCCTTTGAGTCCAATCAATTTTTTAATGCTTAATTCAAAATCATTAGAGAGGCTTAAAATCCTTCGTTTATTCCTTATTTCCTTGGAGAAATCACAAGGTCAATGCAGGGTAGAGAAAACATCCTCTACACTGTTTGAGCATCAGTAGGTGTCTCTACCTTGATGAGAGAAGTACAGTGTCAGCAGGTATATACTCTTTGCCTTTTATTATAACTATATCTCCAACATTTACCTGAAAGAAAACTGGGAATTGGTTAATTATCTGCATGGAAAGATAGTTACAAATATATAACCCATTGTATTTAAGCATAGAATACAGTAAAAATGGTTATTGGCAAACAAGAACCATTTATCCTCATAAAATGTCATAAAATTATCTAGGAGTGAGGCCAAGAATGGAGCAATCCTTCACAAAATGAGCATTCTATCTTTTATCAGCTTTATAACTTATTTAATAAAATGAATCTATCCATTCTATCCACTTAATTGACATCTCAACTCTCATATTCTCTCTTTTGGACATAAAAATAAAAAGGAGGGATTTGCCAAAAGAAATCTTTACCTTATTTAAGGAAATCTCAATACAGCTGGAAAAACTATCATATTCATATGATTATTATGCCTAACAACATTAGGAAATGCGCTAGTTATGATTCATGACTTAGAGAGGAAGAAAATGAACCTCAGAATCTGAGTTGTTCGTCCAATATCAGTGAGAGTAAGAGCTTAGACTCTAACCCACCTCTGCAGAAGTAAATATAATGAAATTATCACTGTATTTTAAATAAAAAAATCAGTTTAATATCTTTTTCATTTCACTACCTGTTAGCATTTTTGTGAGCATGGCCTGAAGCTGAATTAAGGATATGCTATGGCTAGAAACTTAGAAGTAATTTAAAGATAGGTTTGTCATAGAGCTTTTGGCAAACAGTGCTCCTCCGACTAAGGGACAGCTTGGTTTGCTGGCCTAGTCGAATGAACCACACTGACATCCACCCCCATTTTATCATGAAAGTTGCCATCTTAGTAGCTGTATGAACCTAAAAATAAGTTTTAATACTTAGAATAAAAGCCTTTTTTTTTTGGTAAGGACTTTTTGTTCTTTCTCCTCCCTATTTTGCCTTGAACTCTAAAATGACACTTTACTGGGGGAATGAGAGAAGGTGGGAATCACAGTAAGAAATCATCGCAGAGCCAGCCCACTGTTGTCTACTACCTATCCTGGCAGAGGAGCAGGTTAGGGAAGGTTGGAGGGGACTTCTCATCTATGGCAGGTATGCTGGTTATCCAGGCACAGAAGGTCTAGATGCCTTGATTCAATAGCTTTATTGCTGCTGAACTCTAGATTATCTGAAACCAACTAATTGCCAAGGGCCTTGAATCAAACACCGCCTCCCTCAAAAAAAAGGGCAAACTGTGAAAATAAAAAACAGCAAGTACATATAGGTATAAAGTGGCCCTTAAAGTAATGTGTTGCGAGAGTACTCTGATAGCACCCTCTGAGAGCAAGAGAAAGAAATCCAAGTTCTCTACAGCCTTGGCACTAAGAGAGAAAGCTACCCAGGTTGCCAACTAATTATTCTTTAATCACCTCCTGTGTGTTAGTGTTTTCTCTCCAATTAGATTATATGCTTCATAAGATCAGGATCATATCTGTTTATGTTACAGTATTAGACTCTAACAGACTTATGAAAATCCCTAATTGACTGCAGTTTCCCAACATCTTCATTCATCGTAAGACAAAAGAAAGGCTTGTGGTTATTATACCAAAGACTAAAAAAAAATGTTAGCACCTATGTCTCAGTGGAGGGTCTCAGCTCTGGGCAAATTCATTCTGGATTCAATGAGACCAAATAACAAAAACATAACGTTGTGGGTAAAAGGTCTATACCAGGCTTTAGTCTTGTGGTGGCAGGTCAAGTGCTAGAATCACATCTGCATCCTGCAAGCCCACAATCTGTCTCCATGTCCACACAGAGCACTGGGCAGAGCTCTTTATATAGCAACACACTCAAATAGCTCATTGCTGATGTGTGCAAGCATGAACCTGTGAGCACTGCACATGTGCAGTGGGCAAACAGATTAAGGTCAGGTGAGGATTCTGGCCAAGGTAACTTCCCTTTTCCCTACAACCTTATATGGCATAATGCAGTTACCTTAGTGGCCTGGGAAAACCAAGGGTTTACTGAACTCTAAATAGCTCCCTTCACAGCACTGTCAGGAAAGCAGGTAAGGACTCTCTCCTCATGAGGCCTACAGTTTGGATTACTTTCTCAAACACATCCATGCACCTCTCATTCTTTTGGAGTTCGGAGCTCCTAATGTGGTTTTCTCCCTACCATTCTGGTTTGTGCATAAGAACAACAGATGGCCAAAATTCTGTGAGCATGTGTTCTAATTGGAGGAACATCATAACAAGGCAGTTTTTTTCCCCCAAAAAATACTGAAGTTAAGTAAGTTTTAGGGCTTTGGGTCACTACCTTGAGTCTTCTTAAGTCACTGACATTAGTGATTACAACTGAGGATTATATAAAAGGGTAAGCTTATCAAACTGTAATAGGCTGGTTTAAAATCTGTGTCTAATTGTAGGCTCCAGCACATTTAAATATTTTTACTGAGGAATTTTTGGAGATAGAAATTCTTAATCCAAAGACATACATTTCATGTTGGAAACTTCATGAATTAAAGCAGTGTGGATTAAATGAGAGTTCCTGTGGCCAGGATTCTCACCTGGCCTGGTTAACTAGCCCACTGCACACCAATTTGACTCTACATAAAGAGCTCCACCCAGTGCTCTGGGTGCGACACGGTGGCAGGGCTGCAAGACTGCAGCAGAGCAGAGGCTGGAGCGGTGGCAGCAACAAGGACAGAGGTCCGGAGGATGGCTGTGCAGGACGACTGTGCAGAGAGGCCCAGAGGACGGCTGTACAGACAGAGGGGCCCAGAGGCAGAGACTGGCTTGCTGCAAGCAGACTTGCTCTGAGTGAAGGGGATTTTAGTGACTGACCTGCCACCTGGAAATAAAGTTGGGTATAACTCACCCCAAGAACGTTTTGCTGTCAATTTCTTTGGTCATATTGACTCCATAGTGAACTTGCCCGGGGCTGAAACCCATTGGCAAAACAAGCAGCTTTATAAGTGACTTTTAAACACGCACACAGCCGATCACTCCATGCTTCTCTACAAAGCCAGAAGTTGATTCTAATGTTCTTCACCTGCAGCTATCTCAAAAACCTGTCCCAGCTGCATCTCGATTTGAAGAACTGGTCTTTGTGGGAATGACAATAAAGACAGCTGTTTTATATTTCCAGAGTGGAGATACCTGCCTTGTATAGGGCTTTGTAAGCAATATTTTGACAAACCAGATCCTGGCAACTTAATTTTGTGCAACAGAGAAAAGGCTTCAGGGCAATAACTGGAGGAATGAACTAGTAATGTCTGAGAGCTAAAGTCTGCTCATCTGTGAATGACCGAAAGTAATGCTATACAAAACTGTAGGTCCTTTGAGAACCATTAAAAAGCAACCACAGAAGCCACACATTTAGAAAGGCAAAGAAAGAACCCTGAACTAAAGCCCATTTGCACTAAGGTTTATCACATTTTCTTGCCATGTGAGTCAGACTCTTGGTTTTGGTTTATTGATTTTCTTTTTTATTGCATGAGATATTATATAGGCTAAAGAAAAGACTTGCCCTACAACCTAGCTAGCCCAATAAGCAAGCCTGTGTTCATGCCTGTCCCTTTGGAACTCTCTCATATGTCTTGATTGCTGTTATGAGCTCACTGCTTGGCACATAATTCAATAAATATTTGTTGAATGAGCAGTATACAATTTTTCTGTGTTGCCACAGAATTTGATATTATAGCTTTTACTTGTCACAAAATATACCAGAATATAGAATGCCATGATTTATAAAACACATTCCCCCTTGTTGGATATCCGTTTATTCTAACTTTTCACTGTTATAAATAATGCTACAATAAACATTTTTGTACATGTACAGGTCTTTCCCTACTTTATGATTATTTTCTTGGGATAAATTCCCAGAATTCCCTTGTTATAGTTCTCAATATGAAAACCTAAATGGATAATCCACAACAGTATATGAATGAAATGCCTCATAAAAATAAAAATTCTGAGATATAAGTGAGTTTTTTTATTTATAGACTACTAGGTAGCAAATGAGACTTCAATATTGTTTAAATTTGTAACTTTTATTGTTAGGTTGAATATTATACTGAGTCTAGTTTTTTGTTATATTCTTGCTTATTGCCAACTTTTATTTCCTATTGATATAACAACAATTTCCATTTTTTGTCATATTTGCTGCAAATATTTCCCATATTCTGCTTGTTTGTGGTAGCTTTTGTTGTATATTAGTTTTAAATTTATAAAATCAAAGTCCATAGATTTTGAGATCTCGCTCTTCTCCAAATACTTATTAAGGTCTTTACTCTATTTGTATGTTTTCCAAAAACAATGTTTTAACATTTAACTCTTTTAGCCAGTTGGAATTTATTTTATCATAGGCTGTGACTTAGATATAAACTGTATTATTTCTTGAAACTGCTAATCTGTGATTCCAACATAATTTATTAAATAATCCTCTGATTAATGATTTTTGCCTCCTTTACCAAATATTAAATGGGTTTTACTTCAGGGTATTCTATTCTCTTCTATTCTACTTTACTTTATTCTTCATTGCCTATTTTTGCAGATCCACATTATTTTAATAACTTTTGCTTTCTATTTTACTTGGAGTCAATCCTTGAACACTGTTAATTTTTCCAAATTATTTTATTTTCCTCAACTGTTGATTTTTGAAATTAAGATGATAATTCAGTTATTTTTTGAGGTAAAAGATGATCATTTTCCTTGGATTATATTACAGTAACATTAATACTTGGAACAATTGATGCTTTTTTTCTAGGATATGACATATATTCACTTATGTGATTATTTAACACCTGAAGTTTTGATGTTTTTTTTGCAAAGGTCAGGTACATATTTTAAATTTATTTGTAAGGATCCCACATGCCACTGGAATGAGATCTCTTTTTTACTGTATTTTTCTAACTTGATTTTGTAGACTGTTAATTTTTAAATTTATCTTGAATTCATCATTGAACCAAGTTTTATTAATTCAAATTAATTATCTAATTCTAATTATTAAGTTACAACAATTTATTTGGCTGGCTGACTTTTGCCAGCACTTTAAATTCTATCCCTCTGTATCTCATAGTGGGATGTTCAGGTAAAGTGGAGCATTGATCTCCAAGAAAAATGGGAATGCTATCATTATGGGTAATCATGGGCTGGTAATTTAATTCTTTTGCCTGTGAAAACTGGCAAAGTAAGAGTTAAAATAATCCAATCAGTCTTCTTAAATTAATGAGTGTCTGTTGAGAAAACCAGACATTTTAACAGGCTAATTTTAGAGTGAAGTAGTAGATGTTATCTCCTGACTTTATAACTGTTTATTTTCTAACAAAAACTCGAGGTAGGAAGAGAAGAAATGGATATATCAATTTATTAGGATATGCATTTATATTAATTACCCTGGCAAACCTAGTAAATTAGATATATTTAAAATAAAATTCATTTTATCACACTCAACTCTATCTTACCTGTTTTCTGAAATGTTGAAACACACAAGAGCATAAAAGAAACTTTTTGTGAAATAGTACTGTGGGTTCTTTTCGTTTTTATCTTGCTACTCTGAGAAAGAGGTGACTATCACAGAAACAAGGAAAGCACAATCAAGGTATTTTCCTCTTTGTTATTTTTATGTCAAAACCCAGAGAGAGAGAGAGAGAGAGAGAATTGTGAGTTTTTAAATATCTGGAAAAGGAGATGTCAAAATTCTGGCCACTGGTTTAAAATCAACAAAAACACAGTGAATTCAGAGGCAATCCTGTTCTCTGCAGGGATACAAAGTGACTATGAACATCACAAAGTAGAATCAAGGGCATGGCTTTTAGACTGCTGGGAAATACTGGAGTGCAGGGTTACACCTCTGTCATCCTAGCAGTCTTCGGAAACAAAGTCCCCTGCATCAAGTGACCTCACCTCCAAAAGTCTTTTACCAAGTTACAAAGGTTATTCACTTGTTGATGACTTTAAATTTAAATGGTCTTGTAGAACAAAGGGAGTACTAATAATAATTGCTTACCTTTTGAAATTGATCTGAAAAGCATATGAACACTTGGGTAACTTTTTTTTTTTTCAGCATTTGTTAAGTTGGGACTCAACTCACTGCCATGTTAGAGGCCCTGTGAGCAAAGTAACCCCTTGATGTTATGGAACTGATTTCTAGCTCATTAGAAGATGATGTTGAATTAGTAAGACTTTTTCTTTTTAAGGGAATTAGCAGTATGTAAATGTGATTAGTCACAATATATGAAGTCAAAATATATACATGTGAAATATCTGAAGTCTTATTTTTACTTGGACAGTAGATGATAAAAGCAAAAAATTATAACATAAAGCAGTTCATGGGTAAATGAAATCTATGAAAACAGTATTTAGAAACAAAAAGTTCTAAATAGTACTTTTCAAGATAATAGTCTTTTGAGTATACTGCAGAATTATTAAATGGAAGTGACTAACTGAAGACTCCACAAATGTTTACATTAATGACTAAATTGCTTTCATATTAGTGGACTTCTTGACATCTGCTTATATATGAAAATTGCATCTACTAGCACATACATCTATACATTTCTCCTCTTAGAACAAAATAAAAATCAGTGCGTACCTTTTCCCAGTGTACAATTTCCCAAGCACCATTTCTTAACACTGGGAAGAGAAAAGGTGACAGTTTAAAGAACATTTTTATTACTTAGGAAAAGCTTACTTGTGATATAATGATAGTTTTAAATGAATAGCTTCAAATAAATTAACTAGCAGCAATTTTCACAGGCTTAAAAAACTACGACATCAAGGATATGTAACACTATATAAAGAATTAGCAACAACGAATCTACACTTGAGATACCACAATTACACATTACTAACAGAGGCTGATCTCATCAGTGCTGCCAAAGGCTTTCTTCTGCACACAGAGGAGTTCCAGGGCAGGGCTGAAGGAGAAAGCCACAGAATTGATGTGAAAAAGGGAGGGCTTTCAGAAGCCACAACAGTTGTGACATTATTTAAAAAAAAAAATCACAAGCACAGAAGGAACAGATTTCAAATTAGTAAAAATTTAACACATAAACCAACAAAGAATCTGCATCCTTAGCTTTATAATAATACTAAAGAGCAGTAAGTTTCCATTTGTGGTTTACTGGAAAGAAATGGAAGAAGAGGCTCCTATTAAATTATGATAGAGCGGTTCGCATTTCTTAGTGTTTCATTACTGCGTTACAATAGTAAAGTTACTCAGTACAATATACTTTTTTTCCTACTATGTGTCTATGGTATAATACTGGATGTACCATAGACACAAAAGATAAAACAAACAGGAAAGAGAGTAGTGTGAGGTAGATGGCGCAATACCTCGTACTTAAGAAAAGGGTAAGTCAAGAGCAGTCAACAAATTATCCCAATAGTAAATTCCATTAGGGTAAAGCTAATACTTGCACTGCTTAACACTATATTCCCTAGAAACAGCACTGCCCCTGGAGCAAAGTAGCTACTCAATAAATAGCTGTGGGATGAATAACTTATGGGTACAAAAACATTAGATGCAGTTTTTCTTGATATTAGAAGAGACAAAGCCTAAACACCTGAAATAGTAAATAACAATGATAATCAGGCCCAAATTTGTTAAATAGCAAACCTAACATTAATTACATATCTATAGGTCTTGAAACCAGTATTACAATATAAATTATTTTAATCTAAGTATAATCTTTTAGTGTTTTGAAGTCTCCTGAACACAGTGCTTATTCATTTCTTCACCTCTGGCACTTGACAGCACTCTTAGCACAGAAGACACTCAAGTGCTTGTTAAACAAATAAATAAATGCAACCATGAATATCTTATAGTGCATTTTGATGAATCAACTTCATTAAGTTAAAAAATAATAAATCCAGGTTGCAGAGCTAACACTAAAGTATTCCTAGTATAATATTTATATGAATAAGTTCAAGTTTCAATTTTTATAGTACTCACACAAGATCAAGCATCCCAAACACAGGTATCCAAAACTAATCATTGTGTTCTAATACACAAAACTCTCATGCCTACAGAGTTCACCCAAACTGATCCCAGGAATAAACCTGCTCATTGATGTTGCTCCTAAGAGTATGAAGGGACCACAGCGTGAGATTAAGAGTGAAAAAGCCCTGGGTTTAGATGCCCTGTTGTCACTGCTTAGCAGTATTTTCCTCAAAATTAGTTGTGACAAAGAATAAATAATAAATAAAAGTACTCTGCCCTTAATCATGTAACTCAGTGGCTACAAAATAATAAAAACTCAACAAAGATAGCTGGTCAAATGTTACTCAAAGCAACTGTAACCTAGGTTAACTGACACTGAATGATGGGGCTAAAATTTACATTAACGTAATTAGACAAACACTGTTCAATAATATCTAGAGCTTTTTGTTACTATTTATTTTCTTCTGATCCTACCTCATATTAATAAATGTACCCCCAATTGTAATACTTAGGTTTTGAAAAAAATCAGTGTTCAATATTTCTAAAATCAAGGGATTTGGCATGAAAATGAAGATGTCAGGTTTATCTAGAAAGCTCAGAAGGTTAATTTCAGTGAGTTTTGAAAATAATAAATACCTGTGAATCCACCACTCAGAATAAGATAAAAAACTCCAGAAAGATCCATCATGACCCTTTACAATCTATCCCTCCATGCACAGAGGTAAACATAAGTTAGACACCATGGTTAGTCTTGCATTTCAATATATTCAATCAAACAGTATGTATGAGATTTTGTATTCAGCTGTCCATCAGCATATCTGAGATTCTGTTATGTTTTCTTCCTCCCATGAAATGGAGCTGGTATTATGGCGGACCAATTTCTAGACTCCATATTTACTCCAATGATCAATTTGCATATCTTCATACCAATATGTACCACCTTGATTGTTGTAACTTTACACTAAGTCTTGATATTAGCTAACTCCTCCACTTTGTTCTTTTAAATATTGTTTTGGCTATTTTCAGTTCTTTGAACTTCCATAAAAATTTCAGAACATAACAATTCTTAAAAAAAAAAAACTGGGATTTTGATTTGGGACTTTAGTCTTTCATGGACAAGCTGTATCTTGCCATTTATTTCAATTTTAGAATCACATAACCAATTCTTAAAAAAAACCTGCCTGGGATTTTAACTTAGGACTTGAGTCTACCTCATGGACAAGCTGTATCTCTCCATTAATTTATATCTTCATGAATTTATCTCAGGTACATTTTCATAGTTTACAGTTTACAGATCTTTCATTAGATTCCTTCACTGATATTTAATGACTTTTTTTTATATTGTGAAGGGTATTTTATACTCCATTTTGCAGTTGGTTACGGGTAGTATATAGAAATGAGTTAAACTTTTGTGCAATAACCTTGCCATCCTGTAAATGTGTTAAATTCACTATTAGTTTGGGTAGGGGTTTCCTTTGTTTTTGTAGCAGTATTTTCTAAGAAACTTAATTTCTGTTTGTTAACAATGCTAAACTATTTTTGGCAGTTTTATTACGCTCATTGCCTCACTGTTCATCTCTCTATTCTTAAACTCTTCTGTTCTTATGCCAAAAAAAAAAAAACCCAACTTTGAAAACTGGGAATAATTTTTACTACTAAAAATATCCTGATTTTTGCCCTAAGCATCTTACGTTCTGCCAAATTTTATCTCCCCCACCAGCACCAATACCAGAACCCCTACTTAAAGCAACCATCATCTCCCAGCTGGAAGACTTCATTAGCCTTACCACTAGCTCCTTGTAATCAGTTTTGATCTCTTGCAAATTCAGTTTCTACATACAGCTATAATGACTATATTTAGTGTATTACATGTACGTACAATTATGGATTATGTTTCAATCCACATATTCTTACCTACTGTGGGGTAATTGGAAGTTTTTACCCAGAGTTTCTAGAATTTCCCACATGGCCTTAGACCATTTAAATGCCAATGTGTTTACCACAGCAGAGCCTCTGGTCAAACCGAGGCAAGGGGTGGAGAGAAAACAGCCATTCTCTCCTCCCCTCTGTTCCTGGTACCTAATTGGTCTGGTGCCTGCCAGTCACCATGGACCCGCCCATGGAGTTCCTGCCAGAAAAGGAGGGCAGGGGGAGGGGCGTGCGTGCTGCAGCTGGAGGGGACGGACTGTGAAGCCTGGCCAGCAAGCCCAAGCAAGCTGTGAGAAAATAAAACCCTTTAACCCGGCCTGTCTTACTTCAGTTTCATTTCCTTCATGCGGAATTTGTCCCAGGAGGGGAACCCCCTTACTCCCAGAGCTGCACCTACACATATACATACATATACAAGATTAGGTCACCTCTTGTTCAAAACTCTTCAACTGGCTGCCCTTGGCTCATAAACTAAGTCCAAACATCTAAAAGGTATTTTGATGAAGCAGCTTCTACCTACTCTCCATCACCACCTATTACCACTGCCTATGCCTCCTTCCTATGTCCTTCATGATGAAAACAACATGCTCTTTTCTGCCTCAAATCTTTTGCACTCGTTTCTATGATTGAAACATTCTTTCCCTCCATCCTCACCTAGATAACTTACACATATCTTCCAGATCTCAGTTTTAACACCACTTTCTCAGGGGACGTGTTTTTGACACCTATTCCTTTACTACTACCCTAGTGCCCTTTTCTGTCAGAGCACTTACGACAGTTTTACTGCGTATTTAGTTGAGAGAGGATTTATGTTAAGACTGTCTCCTCCCCCAGACTGTAAGATCTGTGATGACAGGAAACTTCTCTTTTCTGCTCACTACTGTATTCCCAGTGTTATGATGCAGTAACACAAAGGTGCTCAGTAAATATCTGCTGGATGGAAAGCTGGATCCACTGATGTGCCTGTGTGTTTGGGGCCACATGAAGCCATAGTAATCATTACTAGATTTACTAAAGATACACTCTGCTCCCTAGTAGATCTCATGTTAAAAACAACATGCACACAATGTTTAAGAAAACAGGTATATAGGAAAAACACCCTGTCAGTTCTTCAAAAAGTTAAGCCCAGAGCTACCATATAATCCAGCAATTCCACACCTACTTATTTTCCAGAGAACTGGAAACATATGTTCATACAAAAATCTGTACACAAATGTTCACTGTAGCATTATTCAGAAGAGCCAAAAAGGGCAAACAACACAAATGTCTACCATAGTAACAATGGTTAAACAAAATAGCATACACACATACAATGGAATATTATTCAGTCATAAACAGGAATGAAATGCTGATACATGCTACAACATGAACAAATCTTGAAGATATGCTAAGTGAAAGGAGATAGACAAAAAAGCACATATTGTCTGATTCCATTTACATAAAATCTCCAGAACAGATAAACCCAGAGAGACAGAATGTAGACTAGTGATTCGATCATGGAAGTGGGGAGGAAGGGTTGACTGCTTACATGTATGGGGTTTCTTTTTTGGATGATGAAAATATTCTGAAGTCAGATAATGGTGCTGAATGCAAAACTTTTTAATATACTAGAAAACAAATGAAATGTACACTTGTAAATAATGAATTTCATGTGAGTGAAATACAAGTCAATAAAAAACAATTAACAGAAAAAGATGCCAACAAACTATTAAAACATTTGCTGAAAATAGACTTCTCAGTTTTATAAGTTACTAAAAGAATT